GTGGGGGTATTTTCAATTGTGTCTCTTTCTAGATGTACCCATTGTTTCGTCTCATTTTCTAAAATATTCTGTGGTGTACTTGATTGGCAAAGTAATATGATTCTATGTTGGGGATTCCACATCCTCCTCCTGAGGAGGGGAGGTGCAGGTATTTGGGGCTTATTCTTGTTTTTTTGTGAGAGAATATAAATGAATGAATTTTTTCTGCCATTTGCAAAGTTGGGCTGGGGCAATCCAGACTGGGAGAGTTTGGAATAGGTAGGTTAATTTTGGGAGGGTGATCATTTTGATCATGGCTATTTTGTCTGAGAGAGTGAAATTCATGTTGTTCCATCTTTTTAGGTCTTTGTTGATTTGTCGCCACAAGGGTTGTGGAGGTATAATTTGTTGAGGTTTCTGGTTATTTGTATCTGAACTTGGTGTAACAAAATGTTATCTTGGTGATGTTGGCGAATTGTTTTTGGGTATGGGGGTGGGTGTTGAAGCACATAACCTTAGACTTTGAGAAGTTTACCTGTAGGCCCGACACCATTGCAAATGTGTTGAGTTCTCTGATTAGGGATGTTGCTGTGTTTATGGGGTCTGGTGTTGTGACCATTAGATTGTTTGCAAAGAGCCCTAATTTATAGGTTCTGCCTTTTATTTCCACTCCCTTGATGTCTGTGGCTGCTCGGATCTGGATTGCTAGAGGTTCCAGAGAAAGGATGAATAGGAAGGCAGACAGTGGGCAGCCTTGTTTTGTTCCTCTTTAGATATTAGAGTCCATACTGTTGGTCCTACATTTTTCTGAGCCTTGGGAGTACAGTGGTACCTTGGGTTTCAAACTTAATTAGTTCCGGAGGTCTGTTCTTAACCCAAAACCGTTCTTAACCTGAGGCGCGCTTTCGCTAATGGGGCCTCCTGCTGCCGCTGCGCAGCCGGCACGTGATTTCCGTTCTCCCTGGGGCAAAGTTCTCAACCCGAGGTACTACTTCTGGGTTAGCAGAGTTTGTAACCTGAGGTGTTTGTAACCCGAGGTACCACTGTATATTTGTTTGAGGATTTGTAAGATGTTGGGACCAAATTCCATGTTAGTTAGTACTGTACTGCTAAGAGGTATTTCCACTCTAAGCAATCAAAAGCTTTGAGGATGTCTAGGGACATAATTGTCAGTGGGAGTTTAGTTGCCTTGCTGTGTTCAATTAGATTCAGTAATTTCTTGATGGGGTATGTTATATTGTGACCTGAGACGGAGCCAGTCTGGTCTGGGGCTATTAACTTGTGCAGGAAAAATTTTAGGCGGTTGGCCAAGATTGATGTGAATATCTTGTAGTCTTGGTTTATTAATGAGATTAGGCGGTATGATTCTACTTTGAGGTTCTACTTCAGTGGTTTTGGGATTGAGACTATGTCGGAGGAGGTCCAGGTTTTGGGGATAGACAACCCAGCATGGACTGGATGAGAGCTAACAAACTGAAACTCAATCCAGATAAGGCTGAGACACTGTTAATGCTACCCTAGACCGGATGGCTGGGAGGTTGCCTGCTCTTGATGGGGTTACATTTCTTCTGAAGGAGCAGGTTCGTAGCTTGGGGGTATTCCTGGATCCTTTGCTGTCACTTGAGGCTAGGTGACCTCAGTGCTGGGGAGTGCTTTCTATCAGCTTCAGCTGGTGGTCCAGCTGCACCCTTATCTGGACAGGGATAGCCTATTGCTGTCTATGCTCTGGAAACCTCAAGGTTAGATTACTGCAACACATTATATGTAGGGCTGCCTCGGAAGATGGTTCAGAAACTTCAGCTAGTGCAGAATTCAGTGGCCAGGTTGCTCACTGGGGCAAGACGGTTTGAACATATTACACCAATCCTGTTCTGACTGCATTGGCTAACATTTAGTTTCCAGGCCCAATTCAAAGTGCTTCCTTTGACCTTTAAAGCCTTAAATGGTTCAGGACTGCAATACCTCAAGGGCCGTCTCTCTCCATATAAGCCTACCTAGACCCTTCTTCAAGAGAGGTCCAGAGGATGGCAACATGAGAACGAGCCTTTTCTGCAGTGGCTCCCTGTTTGTAGAATGTTTTCCCTAGGAAGGTTTGCCTGATGCCTTCATTAGACACCTTTAGGCACCAGGAAAAAAATGTTCCTCTTTAACCAGGCCTTGGCTGATTGACATCCAATGAACTTTTAAAATGTGTTGGGAAGGGGGGAATTATTGGGATGTCTTTGCTTTTATTTTTATTATTTATTACATGTTTTTAGATTGTGCTTTTATGTTGTGATCCGCCCTGATACCTGCGTGAATAGGGCTGTATACTACTACTATCCTTTGGAAGCGCCCCCCCCCCCCGTAACTCAACAAACCTGCTGTTCCTGGAACTGGGTGTGAAGAGTGCAGCTGAATGGGACACAGCTGTGGGCATTTTTTCAGCCGGAACTCACTGGAACTCAGGTGAGCACCATTCTAATAGCACGAGGGAGGTGCTCATGGATTTCTCTTTTTCCAGAAAAATCACACTGTGAAGTACGATATATTGCCCATAAAAAGCAAGTCTGGAGTGAGAGACTAGGCTGATGTCCGCGGTTTCCAGGAGCTCTTCTTGTTGTGAGATTTTTGTAGGTGAGCTGAGAGCTTGTTTGGACCCTGGGTTGAGAGGGATGGTGTGTCAGAAGGGAAATGAACCAATATGGATTTATATATATTAGTAACTTTGTATTAATGAAACATTTTTATATGTAACTGTAGTTTTGTAAAAAAAAAAAAAAGTCTGACGTTGCATCAGTTTTCTGTACACAGCTTAGAGATATTAATAATTAAGTGGTATAGAAATTAAATTGTCAATAATCAATCTATAATATCCACTCTCACTGAAAAACCAGGGAACTAACTGCCTTAGACAGAGTCAGACCGCTGGTTCATGTAGTTAGTATCTCTGCATGGATTCAGACAGGAGACCTTTCTGGAGATGCCGGGGACTGAGCAACACATCCTCCTTCTCAATTAGGCAGTTGTTTGATACATGATAAGACACAACTATGTGAAGCTAATAGAACGGTTTCATGTAGAAAAAAAACAGTATTTTCGTTAAATGTTTTCTTTGAACAAGTAAAAGGAAGAGTTGCTACAGGCTCAACACTGTTTCGTGAATGTTAGAAGCAACTAGTTTACTCTGTTAATCTAAAGAGATAAACTCAAGGCAACGATTCTGCAAATACATGTAATGTACATATATATGTGAAATCAGACATGCTGGGACCAGCCAGAAATAACTTAAGAGTGCTGGTGTTGGGATGTGGGAAATAGAAACTTCTGTGGTTTGAGCTGGGTGTTGAAACTGACCACAAATAAAGTACCAAGGAGCTGTAGATGTGTTTTGGACTACATCCCTTTTTATTGCAAAACATTTGTTACAGAAATTTCAAAAGTCCTGCTGCATCAATTGCCAACTTCTGCTTTTTATTACATATCTAAATAGACAACCTAAAAGTGCATTGTGAATCCAGTAGAACTTTAAAAGGAATGTGTGTGTGTGTGTGTGTGTGTGTGTGTATGTCTGTGTGTGTGTGTGTATGTGTGTGTGTATACATGCCCATACACAGAGGGCGAGAGAGTTGGAGTGGGGAGAGAAACCATTCACACTTTCTTTCTTTTACACACAAACAACAACAACAGCACTTTCTAGGAAATAATTATAAAATTATATTTTCATTGATTGTTTTAAATAAACTGTTTTTTGTGTAATATATACAAATAATAATCCTGCTAATAATCTGTTAGGTTTTAGGCTAAAACACTGTTCCAAGCAATAGCAGCAAAGAAACTCTGCTCATACAGGGGCTGATACAGTGGCTAAAGAAAACTATTCCTTGAATACACCTCACTAAATACATCCGCAATATGTCAATCATAATAAAATATTGTGTACCCATTTTGCAAAATCTAATGGATGGTTTCCAGTTTCCATACACAGTTCATTTAAAGGAGCAAGAATTATTTCATTTGTGGCGACTGGAAGAAGGGAATGCCTTCCGTGTAAACTGAAGGATGGAGATAAGCAGGGCTCCCATGCCAATCTCATTTGATAAATCTAATACTGAATTCCACAGAGGGCGTTTGCAGATTCCCAGTGCAATCCTATGCATGTTTACTGTGAAGTTTATAAATGCAGGATTACACTCAGTTCACCTACTTTATAAACTGCCATTGTCAAACCAGGAAGGCTGAGTACAAGGGTGAACGATCAGGTACCCAAATTGTTGACGCTACATTGAGGCCCTTGCAAATTAATGCCCTTAATCTTGCACATGATCTTTAAGTGCAGGAGCTCTGGATGAAGCATATAGAGCAGCAGCAGCAGCAGCAATAATAAAATAAAAATTAAAATTAAAAATAATAAAAATCATATGCTGCCCCCACCTGACTGGGTTTTCACAGGCACTCTGGGTGGCTTCCAACAAATTATAAAATGACAGTCAAACATTTTAAAACCTCGCTATAGATCTTCCAAAAGTCTGATAATTATTTATTTCCTTGACATCTGACGGGAGGGTGTCCCACAGGGTGGGCGTGACTACTGAGAAGGGCAGGGGAACCTTTTCCAACCCAATGGCAGCACATGCCGGGGGGGGGGCAACATTCAAGCCATGCTGACGCCTGAGGTTTCTACACCCCCCATCTCTCTAGGCAAGGAAGTGACAGGTTCCAGCCAGGCAAAAGCACTTTTGTGTGTGTGGGGGGGGTGGGATTTGGAGCAGGGCTGGCAAGGAGTGTTTCCTGGAGACGAAGAATAGTGTGGGTAGATTTCTGAGAGTAGGGCAGAGAGACATGGTGGGCTGCAAATGCCTCCGGGGACTGTGGTTTCCCATGCTTGACACAGAGCTCCCCAGTTCTGAATACTTGCCGGTACTTTTAATTTCACAGGTGGTGGCTGATCCAGAAATACACCTAGAATTCAGGATCAGGGCACATGTCCATTGAAGACTTACACTTAAAAGTAACCATTATGTCCAGAGAAGGGAAAGTATGGGCATAGGCTGATTTATTAAATACTTTAATGAATAAGTAAAAACAGTGTCACATAGCAGTCCTCAATATGATCATGCTTTCAAGGTATATAAATCATTTGTGTTTAGAGAAGACATCATGATTTCTGATGCAGAAGAGAGAATGGGTAGATTAAACTTACACACACATTGCTATTCCCTGTCTTCCACACTACCCTTTCTGACCATAGAATCAGGCCTGGCAGAAAAAAAATGTGTATTAAAAGAAAACTAAGGGCCACTTTGAAACTTTAGATCATTTCTTTGGAGTGTTCCATGTTCTGCAATGCTTTGGGATTTTACAGTCTTTTGAAATGATATATGAATCTGCTAAAAATATCACCCTGAGACTATGGAACAAAACTAGTTTGCTTAAAAGCTTAACTTAAAAGCTTCCAGTAACAACATTATTTCCCCTCCCTGGGCTTAGTCTATTTGTCAAGCTGCTAATATTTGATTTGGATCAACAAATGAGGCATGGGTGTGACTGGGCATCTTTTCCCAAGTTCTTTATTTTCAAACCCTCTTCCAGGAAAGTTTCCCTGACATCAATTAGCTTGAAGACCTCATCCTTGTCCCAGCCCTAAACTTTTGCACTGGTACATCTCCCTGCCCAGTTCTGATACCCTCAATTCAAAGTACGGTACCCTCAGTGCAAAGTCAGGCTTTGTTGACGCAGCAGATGTTACGACTGGGTTGTAAGGCTTTGTGCTATGCAAGTACTCGTGTTACTTTGTGGGTATTGAATTGCAAAGCTGAACATTTTTCATAGCTACATTCATCAAGAGCTGGGCAGCTGCAGAGTCTAAGATATTCACCTGCCAACAACAAATGTTGCATTCTAAGGCTGCAATCCTATACCCACCCACTTGGAAGTAAGCCTCATTGAACTCAATGAGACTTACTTTTGTGTAGACTGTTACAGGATTGCAATGAAAGCCATCTAACCTAAGAAACATAGACTCTACAAGACTATACCAAAACACACAAACACCTTCCCCCAAACTTTAGAAATTATATGAAAGGTTACTTTCCAGAGTCTTCAGCAATTTTACTATGTTGTATTAATGGGTTTTATTTTCTTACTGACAATTGTTACAATTTTAGGAATTTGCAGCTTGCTGCTACTTGGTGACAGACATATGATAAAACTAGTAATGAAATACCTTATTTGAAAATATATAATTATTTCAACCAGAAATGCTATAGGTTCATCTTTCAATACTTCATTTCATATAATATTAAAGTGCTATTAAATGAACATATTGGAAAATAATATAAAAGACCAAAATTGTTAATTCATTCTAACTGGATTCATTGTTACAGGCAGGCAATATTGAAATGTTAAACTCCATAATAGTCCAAAGAAATTAATGGAACTATGCATGCATTTTCATCGGCACAAAATAAGACTGAAATTTAAGGTAGAAGAACTATTTCAGTCAGCATACTATTATTGTGAAAGAATAATGTTATATAATTCAATATCTAAGACAAGTGTATATCCAACTATAGAATAGTATCATATACGTAAACTGGAAACAACAGAATGGATCACTATATGAAAATATTTTAAAAATACTGTACACAGTTTCCTTAATTGTCCAGCATATGTAAACAGACAGCTAACTCAACTGAGTTTTAAAATATTACTTTAACATTAATTATCTTATCTTTTGCATAACATGCCAGTTTGTTCTTCACACTATCACAGCTCACAGTGGCTCATTAGATAATTATACATCAGCTCAAAGACAGTGGAGCTCTACGGAAGAAACTGAAACATACAGTAGCTACAGATGGTGACTCCTTGCCCAACAAATGCATTTTCCTTTATATGTATCATAGCAATCTGGCTAGCAGAGCCCGTTGTTCAGTGTAACATGTGCTGTATTATTGAACGTCACTGACAAATAAGCATATGACTATATAAGTGCAAAGTCCAATGCTCTTCTGTAACGTTCATTAATTCAATCCCATACCACCACTTATTTTGTACATAAAGTAGTGACACACACCCCTTACCTGAACATCTGAGGATTATCTAAACCAGTTTGTGTGCTCCCATCTAATCTCATATCATTGTGGTCCTCCTGCTCACCTGATACTTGATTATTCAGACATTTATGATCTAACCCAGCCTGCAAGCATTTGGATAAATGAGGCTGAACTTTATAATGTACATACAACAAGCTGTGGTTATAAGATAAAAGATAAAAGTTTATTTCCACTTTAGAAATTAACATGATCGATAGTACTGAATACTCAAAAGAGGATATTGATAGCTCACAAAACTTGGAAAAACAGGAGCCATTCACAGTGGACCTCAGAAGGGGTATCAGTTTAGAGATAATGGAAACAATTCCAGGAAAACTATATTTTGTAATCATACTGCCTGTTTCAATGCATATTTTGTGTGCCCATCTACAGAAAGACATCTTTTTGAAAAAAAGAAAAGCTCCACCTTTGCTCTCTGCAAATACGCTACCCCTATGGAATTGGCAACATAGGCAATATATACTGTAAGTGAGAATTTTACTGCTGAATTACTGCTTGAGTGAAGTGCTGCAGTTTGTTAGCATAGATAGGAACATAGCCAAAGATTCCTAGTTCCAGATCCCTGGAGTTCAAGTTCTTGCTTAATAAAGTGCTATAGGCTAATTTTAACAAGACTCTGGTCCAGGAATCTCTTAATTCAGGAGTCTAACAAAGAAGCTATGGGGTGAAATGACAGAGTGTTCACTGGCAGTCTTGCTGATCATAGTGGGCATGTAGGCTTGTAGAGTTAAAATGTGTTTTCACAAGTGACACAAAGATTGCAATTTTGTCCCTAAGACTTGTAAAACTGATAAATGTGGTGATATTGTATGCAAAAAGGGAGACACTTTTAAATTTGACTGATTCCTAGAAAGGAATTCAAATTATCTGGTGGGTGCCTGCTTTCTTGTCCTTGTGAACAGAAATACTTTTAAGGCCACTTAAAACAGAATTCATTTTTGTTGTCACATTCATGTAAAAACTCACACTAGCTTTTGAAAAGAGCACATAAAGATGATTCACATGTATTTTGTTAACAAAACCTACAATTTTTGCTCATGCTGGCCATTAAGAAAAAATGTGGTCCATATTTTTGTATTTCAGAATTCAGTGAGAATCCTGGTGTAGCCTTTTAAGTACCACTGCTGATTTCCACTTTTTGTCATAGAAATTCCAGCGATCAGCTGAGGTCTGACCTTTCCCACATTAATATATGGACTGGAAAGGGTCACACTCGTTATTTTAGTCAAAGAAATTTACACCATGATGACAGTGGTAAGATTGGTGGCATTTATGATGCCACCTAGATATGCTTAATATGGGATAGAAAAGTGTCACTGAAGAAAAACAGAAAAATGGGCAAGTGGCTTTCAAGAAAGCATTTGAAGAGTTGTTTTATAGAGGTAGCGTCAGCTCAGGTTAAACTGAACTGTTCTGCAGAGTGGACAGGTGGGGGGAATGTAATGCGTTTATATCATAATTCCGCGATCCAGGACAGTCTAGGCCTTAAGCAGAATCAAGACAGAGTGCTACTCTATTCTGACCAACTCAAAATAGACCCAGTTTGACAACTGAAGAACCATCCAAATACTCTCAGTGGGAACGGGATCCAAAACTGTTCAGCAGCACATCACAGATTAGGTTCTAGTGACTAGTCTCTGGCTGCTTAGCCTGGAAGAACTGTGGTAAATATGAAAGTAGCCTTAGAAAGTAGCATTGCAAGTTGAAAAGGCAACAATTCCTTGCCACAAATCCTAGATGTACAGACAAATGCATGATTTACACACACACACACACACACACACACACACACACACACTAACTGGCATCAGCAAACACATATCTGAAATCCCCTCAGGCAGGGACGAGAAGCTGCATTGGGGGAAATCTGCATTGGGAAAAGAGTGGATGGGCACTTTTAACTGTCCTTTCCCAAAGCTACTTTTCTAAAACACACACATACCAAGAGGCATCAGAATCCTATAATGTGAAGTTAGTCACAAAGACAGAGGTAAAGTTGGACATTTGAAATAGACTGCCAAAGAAAATTGCTTCATCCAATCAGCACATCTGAAGTGACATTTGCTATGCATTCAAGTCAGAAATTCTGTGATAAGTTCTTGTTACAGAACAACACACACTTTAAAAAGAAGGGGTAAACAATGGATTAATAAGGGGTAGAGACCTTTGACTGGAACCCAAGGAAGTGAGGAAGTTGCACTGCATCTTGTCATTTAAACCAGCATGCAACTCTGTTGAGTGAATGCTGCTGCTCATAATGCTTCCCTCTTCACGACCACATGCTAGTAGTGTCAGAGGAACTAGACTAGAGCAATGCAGATCTTCAGAGGTGTGGTTCTATATGGTGCTTTGTTCTCCAGATAAGTCCTTATAAACAGTTAGGCTGGGGTGGCTAAAATTGTCCAATTAATGTGGTCACTGGCCATTGGAGCTCAGAATAATTTTCAAAATCTCCTTCAAAACCTCACACATATGTTGTCAGAAACAAAAGAGAATGGCACATTTACAGAGCGGGTAGCAGCCCTGGCATATTGCTAAGTAAGGATTAAACTATTTCTCCAAAATCATTTCACAATTAAGGTTTTCTTCTTCTGAATGGCACTGTGCTCTTTTTGCTGTATTAGCCCCTTGCCTAGCACCAACCACATTTAATCCTTGCAGCCCCAGAGGGCTATTGCAAACATGGTTGGAGGGTGGGCCTGAGGGAGACAGAGGGGGAGATGGCTCTCGCTATCTTGCCTTTCTAGACAACGGAAGCATACTTAAAGGAATGGCTTTTGCACTTACCAGAAATGTTAATTTCACTTCGGTGCTTCAACTAACTTCTAAAAAGGATTTGCTTTGTCACAGAACATCATTCAACATCTCCAGCTGTTCTGTGCTCACCCAAGTTCAGACCACACGATAAACATACAATACTATAAACACCAAAATGTTCAGTTATAACCATGCCTTAAAATGAAATAATGGCAGCTAAATGGAGGAATTGGTAGAAGAACATGGCAGTGACAATGAATGAAAATAGTTTGAAAATAGTGAATGAGATGGGCATGGTGCACAGAACAATGAGAACAGGATGCCAGTTCTTCTTTTTTACTACCTTCTCACTATGACATTTTAACAAAGTCCTGTGAAATACTTTCTAAACTGGTACCCGTGCTTAAAAAAATAAATATTTACTATTCCACTTAATTACATTCCTCCTGAGCTTGCTCAACAGTGCTAAAAATCCCATTTAAAACAGGAATTCATGTGACTATACATAAATTCTTCCCTTTCCCTCATGCTGCTATACAAAAGGCATATCTTTTCTTCCCTTCTTGAAAATATAGACATTTGTGCCACCTCAAGTTAATACAAAAAGGATACAGGTGAACGGTGAGCGTGTTAGCTAACTTCTTTTTACAATGATCAGGCAGAAGTATAGGGATGTGAGAAATCTGGGGAAAGTTGACGGCTGCTTTGTTTTCAGTTTCTATAGAGTAATACAAAGATGCCCTCACTAGCTGTCACAGCAATGGTACTGAGGTGGAAACCAGCATAGTCAAAACACCCTCTTTATATGCATGTTATTTTGTTTCTCTTTCAAACCAATATATCCCTATTTTGAAAGGCAGATTTCTTAAACTGTTCACCCATTTATTTATTTTTAAAAATGTCTCTATAATTTTTCCTTCCCCCTCCCCCTCCCCCTCCCCTTAAGTGCAAATGCCAACTAGGTCAAGATACAGAACCTCAGTGCTTGACATTGACGTTATGAAAGTGCTAACTTCACTGTTGGCAGATGCCAGCTGTTGCTGACATATAATGGTCTGAAGTTACTTCATTCTGCTAATGAAAAAACTGGAGAGCAGACAAGTCTCAGACAGTTCTTCTTTTTATGATGCACATATTATCTCTAACTATGCTTGCTCTCAAAGCTATGGAAGGCACCTGTTCTAGAGAGTCTTCTCATTGATAAGGTGTCCGACCTGTTCTCTGGTCTGGATGACTTGCTCCTCTGGAATGTACTTCGGAGGCTCGTTGCATTGCGCTGCCTGTCAAGTTTATCACTGATGGAGTAGCTTTTCTTTGTGTGTGCATACAACAAGTTGGACTCATCTGCAGAGTAACTGTTGGCCCTCTCTATTTTTGGAAGAGGGATATTGTTGGACAATGTTCTAGATGTATTGCTATCTTGAGATGACAAGGGAACGGCTTTTTTGTCTTTGGTTTCAGTATCCTCATTGTCAGAGCTTGGGTGACTTAGTTCCGCTTCCCTCTCTGGGTGGCAGCATCCTAAGTCATCAATTTTGTCTCCATGAACTCCAGGAAAGCTCGACCTTTCTGCAATGGTTTGAGGAGCACTGACACACCTTGTATCAATGCAGTCTGTAATGCTTGTGTACTCTGCTGTTTTGACTGGCACTCCAAGGCTACTGAAATAGCTCCGAGAAGGAGAGAACATGAAACTGTGAGATTTTACTATTGGTGCTTCCTCTAAAATAAATGGGGTTGTAGCCAGGTATCGGCTGCTTTTAGACCTCTCCAAAGTATGGTACATGGGAGGGTCTGATTCCCAGGGGTTTGAGCAATCTGCAATTTGTGAATAGTCTGAAGAAAATACTCTTGTTTCCATCGATTGGTCTTCATAATCAATACTCCTGCCAGAAATTCTATCACCCGGAGTACTGCTGACATAAGCACTACTGGAGACAACACTGGAAGCTATCTGAGCTTGGAGAGCTGGATCTCCAGTCCCAAGGATGTTCATTGAACTGTCAAGGGGTTCTATGACAGACTGCAGCTCATCCATGGCTGAGACATAAATGTCTATGCAAGAGGAAGGCCGTCTGGAGTCTGGGGCAATTGAGAGAGTGCTTGTAGGCACTAAAGAAGGGATTTTTTGCTCTTTTGAGACAGAGTGAGAACTACTGGCACGGTGGAGGCTGAGGGACCTTTCTTTGAAAATGCTTTCAAATTTCTCCAACCCACACTTGTCCTTCATGTTCACTGCATAGAAGGAGTGACTTCGCAAGCGGGGAATGACGGTTGGAGAGGTTGGTGACATGGACTCCTCCCCCGTGGGATCAATGCTTTCTTGAAGTTTGTATGTGTTTCCCTCCTGGCTGTTGAAGCTGCTCTGTCGGACAATGTAGGCTGTGTCAGTACAGTCAGAGGATGTTCGAGACCGTATCTTAGTGGCCTCCCCTCTGTCTAGGCCAGTAAGCTTATCTAAGGCTGTAGCCATTCGCCCTATCATGTCTTCCAGTTGAGCAAGCCGGATGTCTACAGTCTGAAGTGAAGCCTTCATGCAATGCTCTCGTTCATTCACTTCTTCTAATCGCATGGCCATATTCTCTACCCTACAAAACAAAAGTAAAAAAGGAAGAGAGAGGAAAGCATAGTTAATTTCAGACTGAACAAATAGGTTAGTATGATTTACTAAACTTCAGGTTTCTTGCATCCAATTTAACAGAGTGGGAATGATGGTGCTAACATTGAAAGATTTTGAAGAGATAAGGGATTTATTAACGGATTGGTTACAGTTCAACCAACTAAATGATATTTTCAAAACAGATAAAAAGAAAGGTTTTAGTTATGAGATTTCAAGATTTCAAAAAGATCTGTTAGAAAACAATATTAAATCACTGTCGAAAATGTATACACTCCTCTTGGAATGGCATACAAAGATGAACAGGTCAAGTTGGTAATGATACACTGGGCAAGGGATTGGGGGCATAATATTCAGATTTCAGATTGGGAAAGGTTATGGAAAACGGATTTGAAATTCACGGCATGTTGTATGCTGAAAGAAAACTACATGGAAATGATGTACCAGTGGTAAACTAGCAAAAATGTATAAAACAAGTACAAATACCTGCAGGAAATGTAAAGAAAAAGAAGGTACCTTTTATCATATGTGGTGGTCATGTAAGGTAATAAAGGCTTTCTGGGAGATGATCTATAATGAACTGAAAAAAATGTTTAAAATAACCTTTGTAAAAAAAAAACCTAGCAGCTTTTCTATTAGGAATTATAGGTATCAACATCCCAAAGGACCAGAAAAGACTTTTTATGTATGCGAGAACAGCAGCACGGATGCTACTGGCCCAGAGATGGAAAGAAGAAAGAGTCCCTACCAGAGAGGAATGGCAAGCTAAGCTGCTAGACTACGCTGAAGTGGCAAAACTGACCAGAAAGCTCAGGGACCAAGAAGACACGAAATTGAAGAAAGAATGGGAAAAGTTTACAATTTATTTAGGAGACCACTGTAAGCAGATGACAACATTAGCAGGATTTTAATCCCACTTGTAATGTAACAAATATTATGGACAATATGGATAAATGCAAAACATAGACTATGAAATAATACGCAGCTGGAAATGTTGACAATAGGACCCATGGAGGGATGGGGGGGAAGTCCCAAGATTCAAAGTAATCTCTTTTTATGGATATTTATTTGAATTGTAATTAATTTGCATTTGTAAAATCAAATAAAAATGATTTCAAAGTAAAAGATTTGATTATGGGCAGGGGGAGAGAGAAAGAGGAATTTGGTGCTTTGCAAAAAACCACCAAACAAACAACCCTCTCATGTTTGCTTATCCAGTTATCCCCCGGGGTGTGTGCCTTCTGGATTTGTGTCTTGTTGTCCCAAACTGGAATTGGGAAAGTGGTCGCTCTCCCACCTGCGAGGACCCTGCATTTTTCAGGACAGACCTCCTGCCCCTCCCAGTCAGATACAGACACATTGCTGGGAGCCAAAATCAAACCCCAAGCTCTGCAGAAGGAAAGCCAGCTCTTGGGTGGCCTTTAAAAACCTTAAGGGGAAAAACGAAGTATGATGGACCTGCATTCTGTGCCCTTAGAACTGAAGCAGCCAGCTGCGTCCAGGGCAAGACAAAGCTTAGGAGGACGTGGTTGGTTCTTTGGGAACCAGGAACTCTCTTCCTAATGACTGGGGAGAACAATCCCACCAGTGGGAAGAGGAGAGCAAGGGCCGATGGTGAGAGAGGAGGAGCCAAAGGCCACTGCATTTGGCTCCGCCCCTGGCTCCTCCCAAAACAGGATGTGAGGTCGTGTATACATTGAACACTTGTCGTTGGGCCCCTGCAATGTTTAGCACGAGTTGACACGTCTGACTCAAAATGTTGCATTATTTTACAACAAACTGATCTGTATAACTTTTATATCTTTATAATGTAAGGAGATAATGTTCAGAAAAGTGAACTGATAAGAAAAAAATCCAGAAGACTGATGCTTATGCAGTCAAGCATAAATAATTTTACCATTTCTGCATACTGGTTAAAAATTTCCTTTTTTAAAATTTCATATTTAATTTTAATGGCTGAGCCACACCTTTAAATTATGAATATACATATGTTTGGAAGCCTCAGGATGTGCTACAATACTTATTAATCTACTTATTTAGGAGAAACTTAACAAAAGAAATGAATAAAAAATATGATTTACAATTTTTTTAACCCTGTTTTTTAATTTTTTAAAATCTACCCTAGTTTCTTGACAGTAAAGCCTTGTTTAAAGTTTTTTTTCCTTTCAAAAGTAACAAATTTCAAAATATACACTATGTAAGAAACCAAAATGAAAAATCTTTCACCTTTCAGAGGTAACTCGGATTCTTTCATCATTGGACGAATTGAATCTATCATCTTTCTCTCTGAAATACTCTTCTATACATTGTTCTTCAAAATCATGAACTTTTTTCAGTTCATCATCAGTTATAAAAAGCTCTGTAGAAGACATATGAGGCAATGACAAAGCAGCAGTTAAAAGAAGTTAATTAGCTATCATCACAGGGTTTTGAAAGGCACTGCCTATTTTGTGGCTTTAAAATTGCATATCCCCCCGCCCCCTGCCCCCACAAAGAAATCACATTTCAATCATTTTCAGGTTTGTAACATACATACGGTACATATTTCCATACATATTCCATACATATTTCAAGTGCCACACTTCATGCAGGACATGGTGGCTTTCAGTTTCAAGGTAGGCCAGACTCTGAAAAGTGGCTTTCTTAAGTTTTTTGGCATTCCTAATACAGTGGTACCTCGGGTTACATACGCTTCAGGTTACAGACGCTTCAGGTTACAGACTCTGGTAACCCAGAAATAGTGCTTCAGCTTAAGAACTTTGCTTCAGGATGAGAACAGAAATTGTGCTTTGGCGGGGCGGCGGCAGTGGGAGGCCCCATTAGCTAAAGTGGTGCTTCAGGTTAAGAACAGTTTCAGGTTAAGAACGGACCTCTGGAACGAATTAAGTACGTAACCAGAGGTACCACTGTACACTCTTTGTGCTCGTGTCCTTGTCAAACCGAAAGAGGTAAAAGGAAGAATATGTTGCCTCATGTACAGGGTTAGCCAACCTTTTAGTTTCCAGAGGTGGTAGGGCTCCAGCTCTGACCAGGAACTAGGGAAACCAGAGGCGCCATCTTGTGAGGGAGATGGGGTGTGGGTGTGTGTGATGTCACGAGTGCAATGTCTCTTGCAAGCTTTTTGAATTTTGGGAGTGCCCCACAACAAATATTGGTGCCCCCAAAAGGGTTTGGCCCCCAGGAGTTGGCACCTGTTCAGGGAAGTTTTTAATGTTTGAAGTTTTATTCTGTTTTTAGTTCTCTGTTGGGAGCCACCTAGAGTGGCTGGGGATACCCAGCCAGATGGGCGGGGTATAAATAATAAAATTATTATTATTATTATTACTTCTGATGGAAACTGTAATCCAGCAACATTTGAAGGGCACCAAATTGGCTCTCCTTGCTCTCAGCTGATTATTATTAGACACAAAAGCAGCTGTGTAAAGAAACGCCTGAGCAGTTGAGGACTGTGATGCCCGTTTCCCCACTAGTCAGGGTCCTTTGGCTACTCTACTGGTGTGACAGAGCCACAAAGGGCCTTGGCAACATCTAGCTCCGGTAGTCACATTCCTGCCAAAAAAGAAGGTTTTGGTGCAATGCCAAAAGGTCCCCAAAGAGGAGTCCTTAGGTAGGGAGTTTGAAAGCCAGGCCAAAGTGACAAAGAAGACCTTCTCCTGCATTGATGCATTTCAAAGGCGATTATACTCACTCTAATGTGTGGGACGCCATTGAAATGTATTTGGAGATTGCAACTGGCCCAGAATGCAGTAGTCAGGCAAGAGTTCTAAAATGCAGTAGGCTGAAGTTCTGTTTTTTACATTTAAAGCTCTAGTGGTCTGGCACCAGGATATTTGAAGGACCATCTCCTATTCAACACCATATACGTATGCACTGAAGCGATCTTTGGAGACCGTTCTGGGTCTACCATGCAGTAGGCTGCTGTGTGGGACACAGCCTTCTCAGCAGTGGCACCTACCGTATTTTTCGCCCTATAGGACGCACCTTTTCCCCTCCAAAAATGAAGGGGAAATGTGTGTGCGTCCTATGGGGCGAATACAGGCTTTCGCTGAAGCCTGGAAAGCGAGAGAGGTCGGTGTGCACTGACCCCTCTCGCTCTCCAGGCTTCACGAAGCCCTGCGCAACCATCTGGAGCAAAGCCGCGCTGGGCTCCCGAGGGTTGTGCAGAGCTGCCTGCACTCCGAAGCCTGGGGCGCGCTGAAGAGTGCTCCTGGGCTTCGTGCAGCTCTCCGCAAGCCTGGGGAGCCCGGTGCGGCTCCCTAGGCTTGCGGATAGCAGGCTGTTCTGGGGGCTGGGGTCGGGGGAAGCTCGGGCTTCCCCCGTGCCAGCCCTGTGCCTGGGGGGGAAATAATTTTTTTTCTTTATTTCCCCCCCCCCAAAAAAAACTAGGTGCGTCCTATGGGGCGGTGCGTCCTATGGGGCAAAAAATACGGTACATTGCGCAGCTTGCATAGCTCTCTCCCAGCTGGGTCTTGCAAGACTAATTGAGACTTGTTTCAGGGAGCATTTGAGATAGCCAATATGAACTTTTGCTCAATGAACTGTCATCCTATTGCTGCTTTTGTTTACATAGTTTTATTGCTTTTTTATTTGACTGTTTTATATTATATATTGCTACTAAGCCACCATTTGGATCAGGAGAGACACCATGCTTCACTGGCAGATCCCATGCTTTTCATGCAAAAAGCTCCCAGTTCAATGCCTGCCATCTCCAGTTTAAAGGATCAGGTACTAGGTGATGGAAAATATTTTCTTTTTGAAACCCTGGAGAGCTGCTGCTAGTCAGAGTATACATTATTGAACCAGATGGACAGATAACTTGACTTTGTATATTTCTATGGCTGCCAGCCCTACAAACTGCAGAATATGCCCATTTGTGATCCTGCCAATGGGTGTGTCCTGTCATGCAATCACTCCAGATAGGGCCTTCTCTGTGGTGGTGGAATCCTGTCTGTGGGTCTTAGAAGTGCATTAGTTTTTGTTGCCAACTCAAGATGCACCTCTTTGCTCAAACTTTGTGTTGTTTTTGGCATCTATTAACACCAGAAATTGTAAACTTCTGGTTTATCTATAGCTAATAGCTATGGGTTATGGGTAGTATTTTTGTGATTTTATTGTGAATTGCCCTGTGATGCTAACTGAATTAAGAGCAATTTCTAACAGGAAAAAAAGGAAGGAAGGAAGGAAGGAAGGAAGGAAGGAAGGAAGGTGGCATTTTACAGCTCCTAGTGAATGGGAAGGGAAAGTACATCAAACGAAAGTACATAAAACAAATGAAGTGCTAATGCCCTTGCTATGATTCTTGACTGCTCTCCAAATCAAGACAACTAAGCAGAGCTGAGTATATTTTCCATATGTTTATTGTATCTATGACGGAGAAGATGAATTAAACTTACTCAGTCCATAGTCTGTCTCATCAGGGTCGCTATCATGCTTCCGCCATCGACAGCATATGTGCTGAAATATCATAGTCATGTGACTGAAGATGATGAGTGGAGGGGGCAAGACTGGTCTTTCATGGAATGTCATAATAAGCTGATACCGCTGAAACTTCCATACTTGGTTAGATATCGATTTAACTTCAAAAAAGGTGTTGCTGAAGCAGAAGGAGAGGAAGAAAATGCCTTCTGATAAACAGAACTACCATCTAAAATTTCACATGCAATATAGGGGCCATTCCATAGATTACACAGCCCCAGACATGAGTGTATACTCAGTAGGGATCTGCAGCTACTCATGGCTCTCTGGTAGATGTACCACAGAATAGTGGCCTTTTAAAACACTTGTTCGCTTTATTCACATGTTATAATGTTAGTTTCATACTTTAAAAGAATCTTAGGGCTACATCTACAAAAGTAATTTCATGATAAGGCAACAGAAACAAAAACTTGTTGTATACCTAAAGCTTCTCAAATACAACTGTTAGGCCACCCACTTCAAAGACATTCTTTTTGCCACATTAAACTGCTTTTTTACATTATCTGGTGAGGACAACAGCAACATTACTCCTAGCTGTCATGTTCCCAAAATAACACGGGAAGCTTGGAGCTTATAGGAGAAGCTCACTCAAGAGTTCTCAGAAAAATGAGATAAACCTGGGATGGAAAGGGGCCACAGCATGGGCTCTTCCCACATGTGCCACCATCATGCTCAGCAGTGTTGGAAAGAGCAGAGCACTAATGCTCCCAGACCACCAAGACAATCAAAGAACCCAGTTTAATCTTAGGCTTCAGTGTAATTCTGGGACAAGTAAAAAACTCACAAAACAGCAATGCAACAGTTCTGAAGAGGTCCATTTATTGCCTAGTCCACAAAGTTTACAGAGAAAGCTGAGCTGCTTCCAGGTTTGAGGGGCCCTCAGCAAAATGCCCTCCATGGGTCCAGGCAGCAGCGACAGGTGGCAACAAAGGGCAATTTAAATATCCCACAATCCCCTAGAGTGTATCACTCTGGTGCATTGTGGGAAATGGCAGCTCATGGTCATGAACTGGGGTCAACACTGGTTCATGCTCTTGGCTGGTGTGGGGCTCTGAAAGAAGCCCAAGGATGCTGTTGCTGGTCCTGGATGCAAGCAGCCTAGTAATACTAATAGTAATATTTATACCCCACCCATCTGGCTGGGTTCCCCCAGGCTATATGGGTGGGGGGCACTTTGGCTCATAACATGCACTGTACTTGAGCAGTGAGGATTTTTAGCTTCCTCCTAGAAACCAGTCCTCATCTCCCCCCATGAAATGGCTCCTGATATTTTTCTTTAATGTAGCCCCAAGGCAGCTCCAAACTGACCAGAGTGGTGCAGGAAGGGGGCAGGCTCAGTCTTTTCCTAGGAAGCCATCTCCTGCCCACCAGAATATCCCTCAGTTGCTTTTTGTATCCCCCACGGAAAGGAAAAGCAGCTGGGGAGGCAATTTTGACCAGAAAAATGGCTAGCGGGAGAAGAGCAGCAGCTCAGGCTTGGAGTACAGAGGGGGAGACCTCTGCCTGGAACTCTGGAGAACGGATGCCCGTCACTGTAAAATCTGATGTAGACAGACTAGGAGTCTGACTTAATACCAGGCAGTTTCCTGTGTATTCAGCTGATTTGATGAAATTTGAAGCAATTTGGGGCTCTAAGGAAGTTGTAAAATACAATAAAATGGGAAGATACGTATTTCCTATGTCTCCTGCATCTTATCTAGTTATCCACGTGGAAGGTTGCTAGGTCAGATCCCTTTTTCTGACCAGAAGAGAACTCTCTGAACTATTAAAAAACAAAAGATAATTCATTATATTTTTACCAGTTTGTGAGTTTACATTCTCTTGATTGACTGCAAAAGTAATCTGAGCTGTTAACCATGTAAATGCACTACTAACACTATCACTATAACCCCATCTTAGAAATTCCAAACTTGAGCATCAAAAGTTCCTGAAACATTTACTGCAGTCACTGAATTTTAAAACAATAGACACTCACTTAAAAACGGCAATGAGGAGATTCACCAGAAGGATGTTTGCAACCAAGAGGTAGCAAGCCATGATGGCAGGAACGATCCATGCTCCTGTTTTGCAGGGAGGCAGCTGGATTATTTTCCCATCCTCTCTGGTTTCATTCTGACCACAAGGAGCTGGGAAGAAACAAGGGAGGAGGGGGATTAAAAAGAATCCCAGTTTTCAAAACCTTAACAGAAGTTATCAAATTTTTAAAGGCACCATCAAAAGCTTAAAAACCACAGGAGCATTCACTCTCCGATCATTCACTGAGATCAAATCTGCAAATCTTCCAGAGAATATCCACTCCTATGGCTATTGAAATTTGTTTCTTTAAGGTAGGTTCTATACATTATTAGATTTCCCATTTATACATCTCAAAGTAAACATTTTACGCAATACCATATGTCTGTTGACTTCCCTTCTTCTCTTTCCATGGTTCTTTTTACTTATCTATCATTCCTGCATATTTTACTATAACCATTTTAGTCAATTCTCCAGTTTACGTCATTCAGTTATTAATCTCACTGTTGAATTTATCTTAATGCTGCCACTGTTTTCAGTTTAAGGTGGGTTCTTTAAAGCAGTTTGCTGAGAAATACAATGAAGTCTTCAGAGGAAGCAGCTTTCCCTGGCATTTTCTTTTGTTTCAAGATTTTTACTGCATGTTCTAAAACAGCATTCAGTAAATTATGGACATGAACTGATTAAAATATGTATGCTAAACTTTTTTTGTTCTGCTATAATTTTTTTGATTTTGGTAATGTATAGATAGTGTAGCAGAGCTCCTCAAAAGAAGTAAGCAAAGAGATCATTTGACCAGCACAGGATGGAAAAGTAAGAAAGAAGGTTTCCGCCTGACCTCACGATTCATGGCGGTAGCTCTCCACTGCCCTTTGGGGCAGAAGGGAAGTTCAGGCAGGGAAAGCCAGGATTTAGGAGGCAAAAATCCTGATCATGTTCACCAATGGGTTCTGGGGAGTTCACTGCATCCCACTGTGCCACTTAAGGCCATGTCTGCCAACTTAAAGGCAGAATGGGTACGAACCTCTGTCTCCGGCATGATTTGTGATTGGTTCCTCATTAATTTGGAATATTGGCATTAATCGTGAGGTGCTCCTGAAATGACATATGATAACGGGCTGCAATCAATCACCTGCAAAAAGGACTGGGTTTGGATCTTTGAAGGTATTTGATTTTTCTGAAGCTTGAAAACCCTTAAAACCGGGAAGGAAGGGGGCGCATAAGGTGCTTTGCGCTTTCATATGGTTTCCTTTTTTTTTTTCTTGTCCTCCCCTGCAAAATGAAAGAGATGTGTGTAGCTGTGGCTATGTTGTTCTGTCTGGCACCAAGGAAAAGAGGGGGGAAGCTTTTGATTTATGCTCGAGAAGGAATTTAACAAGGTTTTATTATGCACTCCCCCATCAATCAAGGTTGAATGGACTTTATTTAAAATTATCTTTGGACTGGAGTGTGAGGGAGCAATGCAGAGTAAAAACCAGAAACTTTTTTTTATTGGGTATAGTGGGTAAAAGATACCAAGACAAGATAAGAAATTGTTCTGCGGCCAGAATTTTGTTAGCCCCAAAATGGAAACATCATGAAGTACCATCAAAAGAAGAGTGGCAGATGAAATTGATGGACTTAGCAGAACTAGCAAAACTGACAGGAAGAATCCGGAACCAGTGAGATCAAGCATTCCTAAAAGACTGGAATAAATTTGTATTTGAAAGACATCTGTAAGCAATTAACATCACTAGCAGGGTTATCAGAAGATTTGTCAGATGAAATTACTACCTATTCAGAATGCGTAATTTAATATTTTAAGTAATGATATAACAAGAATAGGAAAAGTAGTGAAATGCAAAGATGCAAAATTTAATTTTGTAAACCATTAGGAGCGAGGGAGGGAAGTCATTAGGCTCAGGTGAGCCAAAAAGATATAATAAGATAATATCATGTTACGCAATGTAATTATATGTAAAACCAATAAAAATTATTACAGGGGGAAAAAGCACAATGCAGAGTACGAAGATGAGTGGCTGCTAATTAAATCTGGCAAGAGGCTATATTTGAGAGAAGACTTTGTCTTTAGCTGTGTGCCGAGGAAGAACCCCAGAGTGGAATTTCAATGGAGGACACTGGGCATGTTATCTGGGAGTTATTTATAGCTGCAGCCTGTACACAAGTTGGTGAACAGCGGAAGGAATATGGAGTGTGAACTGACCTTGTTTACTGCAGTGAACTGAACTAAGGAATATAGCAACTAACTCTCCCAACACACTAGGTCCGAGAACGTCGTTTATGAAGGACTAAACCCGTCAAATGGATTTTATATTTATGAGAAACAACAGAGGTGCTGTATGTAAGGAAAGAATAATGGTCAGCTGTGAGAATGGACTAACATCAAGAGAAGGTTTAAGTGTATATTAAAGAACAGATGAAGTGCCTGCAAGAGGAAGTGGTGGACATATGTTTGCAACAGGAGTGGGAAACCTGGTTTTTTTAAAAAAAGAAATTGTATTAAATTAAATTGACGAAAAATGACAGGATCATAATATGGTATGTCTAAGTTGTTTAGACCAATCTACTTCTTCAGGCAGGTTCCTCTGTATAACCAGCCCTCCTCCAGATTAGTTTGGCCAAAAAGCCTCAATATAGCACAACCAAGTGAAGAGACCAAGGCCTAAGAAGCTTGTGAGATGAGAAATACATCTAGCAGAACCGACTCCCGTTCCCCTGTTTAATCTGTACCTTCTACTGGACCTGAATACGTAAGAGGAATTCATAGAATCATAGAATCATAGAGCTGGAAGAGACCACAAGGGCCATCGAGTCCAACCCCCTGCCAAGCAGGAAACAGTTTGCCATATGGTTTTACTCAACATTTTTAAAGCTACTTCTGGTGTTCCTGGATTTCTCTATAAGACACTTTGTTCCCAGAGGTCACTAGGCCAACCCTTCACCTAACTTCCCAAGTCCAGATGTAATGGTCCCCACAAAACCTTCTGTTACGGCATCTCAGAGACTAGGAAGACTCTCAGAGGCCAAGGACACATTCCACACAGCAAAAACACCTGGGGAAGGTGTCCTGGGGAGGAAGCAGGCCCCACAGATAGTCCCAAGGGCTGGACAGTGATGCCTGGAGGGCTGTATTTGCCTGGCCCACACACTTCAGCAAAACAGTGTTGGTCGCTGCCCCTTGCTGAGAGGGGAAAGACACGGAAAGCTCAGGGCAGTGATGGTGCAGCAGCTGGAGGGTCAGAGTGGTCCCCAGCTGCTCCTGCCACTCAGCTTCCTGCACCTCCCCCCGCCCCCAGTAAGTGGCACCGGGAAGCCAGATGCGCCACACTGCTCAGCCGGCACCAGCCGGCACAAGGCACATGGGGAGAGATCTACTGAGCTTATAACCCACTGCAAGTGGAAAGTTAAAATACTAGATATATATTGATTAAGGGAACATAGCATTCAGAACAAATACAGATGAGTAAATAAGAGCTCTGATACCCTGCTTCACCGACTCTCCTTTCCAGAGCTATCCTAAATGTTTAAATGTGCTTTCATTCTCTCCCTCACCTTCTCCCTCAACTCTCTGTCTCTCAACTCCTCTTCACTGTCATTCCCAACAGACACCTTCCACCTGTCACTCACTATGACTCCACCCAGCATTCAATCACAGTCTCCTGCTGTCAACTCACTCTTCTATTGTTTTTCATCACCTCCAAGCCCAGCTGGAGGAAGCTGCTTGGTGCACATATGGGATTACAAGGGCACATTATTTATTTCACACATAAACATTATACAGTGGTACCTCGGGTTACATATGCTTCAGGTTACAGACTCCACTAACCCAGAAGTAGTACCTTGGGTTAAGAACTTTGCTTCAGGATAAGAACAGAAATCGCGCAGCAGTGGCGTGGCGGCAGCGGGAGGCCCCATTAGCTTAAGTGGTGCTTCAGGTTAAGAACAGTTTCAGGTTAAGAACAGACCTCCAGAACGAATTAAGTACTTAACCTGAGGTACCACTGTATATCTCTTGATTGTCAAAATATCTCAAAGCGGTGGGAGTGGGGAAGACAGCTTCACTGCATCTTAATAAGCCAAAGAGCAAGGAAGGAATAGGTGTCAAAGGGGAGACCAGGGCAAGGCCCATGTGCTGAGAGCCCTAGAGCACCAGGAGTGGTTTGGCAATGCTGCGGAGCGGCCATCCCACGCAAGGGGTGCTGCAGCCACATGGGCAGCGTGAGGGCAGAGCAAGGGGACAGTGAGCTCCTGGGGCTGCAGAGATAGATCAGGAGTGCTGAATGGTGCCCACACGCCCTGCCCGCTCTGCCCCTGCCCTGTCAGGAGGGTGGCTCTGTCATACCATTCCACTGCCCCAGTTGCTCCTTTAGAGCTTCAAATGGCTGTTATATATCAGGATGCAGCTTTTAAAACCTGCTTTAGAAAAGGTTAATGAAAAGTTGTTTGCTGCTTTTGCCGCATTAATACAATTTAGTCTGAAGTATGTGTCTCTGTGGCTGCTAACCAGAAAGTTGGTGGTCCAAGCCCACCCAGGACGGCTATGGGCAGGATTCCTACATTGCAGAAAGTTGGGCTAGATGACCCTGGGGATCCCTTCCAATGCGACCCTTCTGTGATTTTACATTGGGGCTCTCAGAAGCAGGTTGTTCACACCCGGCATTCTTAGTTTTTCTGAAGCTTGTTTCAAGCAAACTTGGACAACGGCTTATCAGGATTTCAAAATTAGACTTGAAAATAAGTATTCCACATGTGACCTGACATCAATAAATAGAGTTACAATTACAGCTTGGTCAGGTGCACTGGCAGACCTTGGCATCTCAAATTTCAATGGCGCCCCATGCAATGCCAAAATCTGGAAGGGGTGGGGAGGCTGTGGAGAGCACGGTGCCTTAGCCCTGCCCCACTGCACAGCCACTCATGGGAGGCTCTGAATTTATAGAACTTTGGAGTCATAATTCTTATAATCCGTGATTGAGGGAGCGGTCCAATGCGCCCCCCGGCCCTTCAGCCCGCCCTAGATGGTGCCCCGAACACAAAGAAGTCAACAAAGTACTGTGAATGAATCCAAAGCTTCATTAATGCATATTAAAAGTCTAAGAAGAATTCTATATCAAAAGCCTGTCATGAAAATGGATGACCGAGAGAAGAGCAAACTTTGGATATGTTCAGTCTTTCTCCCCGCCCTCCGTTTAACCTTCACTTGAATTGACTGTTAGTCAAGGAAGATTTCTCTGGGATCCTTTTGAATAGGTAGCCTCTTACAGAAAATTAAAAATTGAATTAATTCTGTTGAACAAAGTTCACCAGCATGGAAATAATTTTTCAGTCCAGAGCAATTAATAAGTAAGGCTGTGTGCACATCATACATTTAAAGAACATTCTCCTTCCCCCGAGAATTCTGGGAACTGTAGTTTGTTAAGGGTGCTGGGAATTATAGCTCTCTGAAGGGTAAATTACAGTTCCCATGATCATTTTTTTTTTGGGGGGGGGAAGAAATGTGCTTTATGCCCTTTTAATGTATAGCGTATAGACAGCCAGATAGGCCTCTCCTTTTCTGCCGTCCTCTTCAGATTTTAATAGGTGTCCTGGCTCTTTTCTTTTCATTCCTGCAGCAGGCCTTAACTTTGTGTTTGAGAAGGGACCCTGAGGATCATCTAGTCTAACCCCCTGCAATGCAGGAATCTCAACTAAAGCATCCAGGACAGATGCCCATCCAACCTCTGCTTAAAAACCTCCAAGGAAGGAGAGACCACAATGTCCCGGGTGTTATGTACTGAAGTTCTCACCCTGGGCCACCAGGGGGATACTGTAGATAGTTTTCACTCAGGTCCGCATATGCAAATAAGGAATCGGAAGTGGCTTTGTAGTTGAGCTCTATATGGTAAGCAGGCTGGCTGAACCCTTCAGCCCAGTTCTGTTCTGGCCTGTGAATAAACAAGAGCTGTTTGAAGAATCACTGTGTCTGATATGTTCACCCACAATTTAACACCGAGGGAGACCGTTCCCCTGTCAAACAGCTCTTCCTGATGTTTAGTCACAATCTGCTTTCTTATAACTTGAAGCCATTGGCTTGAATCCTACTCTTCAGAGCAGGAGAAAACAAGCTTGTTCCCTCTTCCATGGGTCAGTCCTTTAGATACTTGAAGATGGCTATCCTATCTCCTCTCCTTTTCCAGGCTAAACATACTCAGCTCCATCAAGCACTCCTCATAAGCCTTCGTTTCCAGACCCTTGAACATCTCGGTTGCCCTCCTCTGCACACGTTACAGCTTGTCAATATCCTAATTGCAGCGCCCAGAATTAGACACAGTATTCTAGGTGTGCTCTGACCAAGGCAGAATAGAGTGGGACTATGAGCTTCCTTGATCTGGACACTAGACTTCTGTTGATGCAGCCTAGAATAGCATTAGCTTTTTTTTGCTGCTGCATTACCCTGTTGACTCATGCTGAGCTTGTGGTCTGCCAAGACCCCTAGATCCTTTTCACATGTACTGCTAGTGAGCCAGGCATTCCCCATCTTATATTTGTGCATCTGGTTCTACTTGCCTAAGTACAAAACCTTCCATTTGTCCCTATTGTAATTCATTTTGTTAGCTTGCGCCCAGTTCTCCAACCTGTTAAGGTCATTTTAAATTCTGATTCTGTCTTCTGCAGCATTAGCTCCCACTCCCAAGCACTGGCAGAGGAAGAGTGTGCGGGGTGTGTGGCCACTCCAGGTGCCATCCCGGGGGGGGGGCGACATTGCCACGCACCCACCCACATTCGCAGCGCCCTCTGGGCGCTTGCCACAGGCGGCGAGAGGCTAGCAGCACCCCTCCCCCGATGCTCACCGCGTTAGCAGCGGGAGGCTAGTGGTGTCCCCCTGATGCTCACCGCGCAGGCGCTGGGCGGTTATGGACGCTCGCTGGGCATGCAGCTAGCCCTGCCCCCGTGAGCTGGCCAGCCCCACTCCTGCGCCACTCTGGGTGCCAGAGGAGGTAGCTTCGCCTCGGTGCCCAAGTTTGGTGTCATCTGCACATTTGATGAGCATCCCCTCAATTCCTTCATCCAAATCATTTATATAGACGCTGATCAACAACGGGCCCAGGACAGAACCCTGTGGCACCCCACTTGTCACTTTTTTCCAGGATGATGAGGAACCATTATAGAGCACTCTTTGAGTTTAATCAGTCAACCAGCTACAAATCCACCTAACAGTTACCTCATTCAACCCACATTTTACCAGATTCCTTGTAAGAATAGTATGGGGGTCTTTGTTTTACTGAAGGGTGGGCCACATTCTGTCAGGTGTTATCTGTTGGGGGACACAGGCTGGCAGTGTGTGGACCCAGAGACTGTGGTGGGCAAAGCAAAGACAAAAGTGTTTTGGTTTAACTAGTCTGGAATAACAGCCATGCTGCTCCCATTTCCATCATGACTATTTCAGAAGAGAATTGAGAGAGAGGGGGAGGAATGAGAGGGATGAAAGGCCTCAGAGTTCATCAAAACTTGTTTGCCATGATCACCTGCATGGTATAAATCAGTGAAGTTTCTGTTTGGGAAGACATCCTATGCATTTTTGCATTTCTGAATTTTATCCCATGCTCTGGACTAGGTACTCATGTAAATTTGCAGCCCACAGATAAAATGCTAGTTGGATAAAAAATTATGAAAGTGAGGGAACAGTGGAACACTGGAAAACTTGGTTCTACTCACAGTGGCATATTTTCAGTCCTTGTCTACATCCTCTATCTCCCGTGTTTATCATCTTTTTCTGATGCTAATTTTTCTTGGCCTCCTCCATGTTCTTTGTGTAGCTTCCTATCAGATCCTCTGTCTCTGGTCACTGGAGAGCCAAGAGAGTGTGGCTGCTTCAGGCCACAGCACCCAAACTCCAGCAGGTGCAGAATGCTGTGGTGAGGCTCCTTACGGGGTCCTTGCCGCGGGATCACATTCATCCAGTGCTTTACCAACTGCACTGGCTCCCAGTGGAGTACAGGGTCAGGTTTAAGGTGCTGGTTTTGACCTTTAAAGCCCTATGCGGCCTAGGACCCTCGTACCTACTGGATATTCCTGGTATTCACTGCGGAGGACCTTAAGGTCCACAAACGACAACATTTTGGAGGTCCCAAGTCGCAAGGTGGTTAGATTGGTCTCAACTAGGGCCAGGGCCTTTTCAGTACTCGCCCTGACTTGGTGGAACGTTCTGTCACAAGAGACCAGGGCTCTGCGGGACTTGACATCTTTCCGCAGGGCCTGCAAGACAGAGCTGTTCTACCTGGCCTTTGGTTTGGACTCAGTCTGACCCTTATTTTTCCCTCCCCTTATGGTTTTGATCTATGGACTATTATTAAAAGGAGGCTGCATTTTAAATTGCATTGTAACCTGTAAAAAACCTGTAAAAAAATTGGGTCCCCCCCCACATTATGATTTTACTGTAATTTTACTAGTGTTAGCTGCCCTGAGCCCGGCTCTGGCCAGGGAGGGTGGGGCATAAATAAAAATTATTATTATTATTATTATTATTTCTCCAATATGATTACAACAGCCATGACACAGAACTTGTTTTTTAAAAAAGATGTGTTTTGCATGTGGGTTTTGAAATTTGCTCATTTGTAAATCATTGCTCTAAAATCCATTTCTCATTTCACTCAGTCCATGTGTGAGAGAAGGACGTTGCCTCCTGTTTAGCAGCATAAACACATTCTAGGGAAAATGATTAGAGGTTTAGCAAGAGGGCCAGAGAAATTCAGTGGGCCTCAAATAATAATAAAAATGACTCCTGTGTCAAATAAATATGAATGCACCTTCTCAACAAATACATTTCATTCCCAATCCTAACTGCACAGTCTACAATATCCATGCACATTCCATTTCTTCCCCATTCAAAAAGAATTCAGGCATTTATTTATGGACACTTCACCACCACAAAAACCACAGAGAACATGCAGCCAGTTTGTAAATCATTATGCATTGCTTCACAGAGGTTAAGACGAACATGGGGCACATCTGTGGCATGGAGAGGCTGCCAGTTGATGCCCCCATGCGCTAACCTGGCCAGCCTGCAGTCATGCTTCACAGAACAATGCAAAGTAACAAAATAAAAAAACCCAAACAAAACTATACAAACAAAACAAATGTAGTATTTGTATATTTCTCAAATTCAGTGAAATTTTTATATAGTACATGCCTAAGAAACGTGGATTTCTCAATGAACCCAGAATTTATGGCTAGCAAAGAAGTGATAGAAAATGCAAGAAAGAAAGAGAAACCAAAATATTGTAATGTCTGATGGCTCTAAAGAGCGTGTTGAGCTTGTAGGCTGGTGCTTGGCTGACATTTGAGAAAGTACAAACACTCCAGTGTAAAGAGTCAACTGTGGCTGATTTAGCTTAGGCCAGAGTGGAGAATATACATTTCCAAATAGTGCAAAAACAAACATTTCAGAGAAATAACATGTAACATTGTGTGGTTTAACCAGCCATGGGTTGTTCTTCTGCATGTGCTACATGTTTTAGAGACAATATTGCATTGTCATAGATGAGAAATCACAGAATGTTTGACAGCAGACTGCAGTGCTAGACTTACGTCCCTGCATGAGAACAGCTGAAGGTGCTCAGGAGGAGGTTCTCGTAAGGGATCATATTCTCCAGCCCAGATTTCTTCTCTCTCAGGCAGATCCAGACTTTTACCTGCCTAAAATTACTCTCTGAATGTGGTAGACATTTCCTCTTTGTCTTTCACTTTTAAAGTCTGTTTTGTGCAGAAATCAATCTCAGTAACATAAACACTGGATCATAGGAGCCAACTCCAGTGGGCCGTATATATATATATATATATATATATATATATATATATATATATATTTGTGGGGGCCAGGCACCCACAAAGTCAATGAGCAAAGCTGGAGAGAGGCAGCCAGCCAGCCAGCCAGCCTCTGCAGTCAGAGAGGGAGGCACCCTTTTCCGGGTGGGGGGTGGTCTCTCTGCCTCCGAGTCTGAGCCCCTCCCTATGGAAAAGGGTGCCTTGCTGGCTGTGGAGAGGAAGAGGAGCCACCACTGCCACCATCAACGTCTCGTGCACATGCCTGCACATAGTGCATGTGGTGTCATACGCATGATGCGCAACGTCCACTGCGTTTTTGGAGGAGCCCACATGACAATTACGGGCACCTGCAATAGCGAGAGCGAGATGGCATCCCTGCACTGGATGCTCATGGAGATTTAACAGATCCTTTCAATGTTTGATTAACACAAGATCTGGCAAACTCTGTTTTCCCTTTCTGAATGCATAAGTTTAAGACAGCACAGGGGCTCAATAATCCTCAGTATTTATATTTTATTTATTTCAAAACTATTATAAAGTTCTCTAAGGTAAGTATGTTGCAAGCTGTTTCACAACCTGACTAGAATTAGTAAGAGGCATCTGATGTGGTTATCACCTTAGGAGCTCAAATAATGAGTAACAGCAGTTACTTAAGAGTTCAAATAATCAGTATCAACAGTAAAACAGATTTATCTGAATCTCTATGTAAGGCTTCAGCGCTTCCCATCCTGTTAAAAGACATTGACAGCCACAGTCAGCTTTTGTCTTGCCCCTTCTCCATTTACATGGTTCTAAACTACAATCAGCACACCACTTTAGAAAAAGCACACACCCCAGGCAAATTTCTGCAGAATGTGTTGCATTATGCCACATCCTTAGTACAACATCAATAAATGGCCACTTATAGAGGAGCAGATGTTTGTTGAAGGAAACCCCAAACTTTGTGACTCTCCCCACCCCCACTCTTCCCTTATACTCACAAAAGGAAGATTCTTGCAATATATGAAAAAGATGGAAAGACAAACTCAAGAAGAAAATTGCATGGATGCCATCCCTATTTTTGTTTGCTTGCATGCGATGCTATCTTTGAGAACAAAAGAGGAAGGATAATTTGAAAGAGGAAATCCCTTTTCTAAAGATAGTTTAGATATTTAAAACCATTAGGATGAAAAGAGCATAATGGTTTTCTAACAAAAAATCCCATTATGCAGATATATTGTGAAGCAGGAGGTTAGGATGAATGCCAGAGCTGATGACTACACTTTATCCAGACGTGAACAACTGGAGAAACCAACCTGCCTCTTGCTACAATCCATGTTCTTGAATTCTACAGGAACCCATGAGCTGCCCTGCAGAAGCCCAGGCTCACCTCAGGGATGCCCTTGATGTCACAGGGGATCTATTAGTACAGATGGAATCATTTGGACCCACCACTGGAACAAGGCCTCATTATGAAATGCCACCCACATGTACATTCAAGTGGCGGGAAGGTAAATGGTGTTTCCGTGCACTCTGGTTTGTGTCACGATGTCCTGTTGTGCCAGAAGCGATTTAGTCATGCTAGCCACATGACCCAGAAAGCTGTCTGTGGACAAACGCCAGCTCCCTTGGCCTGAAAGCGAGATGAGCGCCACAACCCCATAGTCACCTTTGACTGGATCTAACTGTCTAGGGGTCCTTAACCTTTTTTTTTTTTTAAACATTTAAGTAGAAAAGGTGTGCAAATTTTCTCCAGCATGCCTGTGCTAAGCGTAGTCTTGTTCTTGCATTCCAATGGCTGCACAATCTCAGGCTAGCCTGGTCTGCCCTTGCATGTTGCCCCGGGTGGCACCAGGAGGATTAATTAAAACAGAACTCTGCATTTTCAGATGGCCAGACAAATGAATTCTTAGGACAACAGAAATGTATGGAAACATTTAGATTGGAAACACATTAATAACATTTAACCTGCGCATAGTGCTTTACAGAGTTCAAAGTTCTTCCCATTCATTATCTAGTTGTAATCCTTACAGCCACCATAGAATGTAAGTAACGCAGCTGGATTCAACTCAATAGTTGTATTAGTGAGAGACAGCACAATGAGTCACACCACCACAACCAGACTTCCCCACCTGTCTTCACCAAATCAGCTCTAGGGCTTCCAGAGAACTCCCAGAACAGTGCGGGGGGGGGGGGAGCATTCAATTTGGCAAGCAGAAATGCTTACACTGATGGAATCATTGCCTTAGCGTGACATTGAATTCTGCCCGATTCTTACCACCCACCCTGTAGTTGGGAGGACTGAGGCTAAGACAGTGGCTTCCTTCAGGCCAGCCACTGAATTTGTAGTGGAGATAGGAAGATATGACCAGGTACCTCCTCTTAGCCAATGTGCTACACCAGCTCTAAACCATATACAAGGTAACCAACTTTTGTTGTTTAATAGTTGGATGACACCTATAATCTTCTAATAAATATTTTGCCAGTATCTCAGGGTGTTAATAGCAGCAATCAAGCAGGTCAAAAGATTACAGCTGGCATAAACCAGCCCAAGATCCAGAAATAACTTTCAGAACCGAATGTTTAGTAGCTAACTGGGTTTCATGTTTATGCTCCAGAAGCAAACTAGGGGATGGGGGGAAATGAAGCACGTTGGCATGATCTACACTGCAGCCTTAAATTGGCTTAAGAGTCACTCCCTCTTCCCAGAAAACTTGGATCTAAAAGAATTCACAGCATTTTCACACAAACTACAATTCCCAGGATTCTTTTGGGAGATGCCATGACTATTAAACTGGTAGAAAACCATTGCACGGTCATCATGTAGATATACATAATGTCTTAGATCAATATACATTATGTCTTAGATGTACCATTCAATGTATCATGAATAATAAAATTTGTTAGTTTTAATGTGAATTACATGTGTTGAAAAGGAAATGCATAGCTTAGCAAAGTTATGGTTATTAGGAAATGTTGTTAATATGACCTTGTGAAATTAACAATTTAAGTGGCAGGCATGAACATAATTTTTTCATTATACTTTCCTGTAGTGTTTTGAGTCCTCTATCTTGAGCCATTTATTGAGAGTGTTAAAAATGATCTGGTAAGATATCACCTGATTGGAGTTTGATACCTGACTTTGGAGTATGAGAATCATAAACGTGCTTACGGTCTATCTGGTCTGCAAACACTTCCCCATAGATCATCCAATACGGCATGTAAAAAATATTCTTTGCCAGTTTCCAGGAAGGCTCCTCATTGGGAAAAAGTATCGCCTGTCTTGCAACACCAAAGCTCATCAGAACCACCAACATAATAATGACAAAATACATCATGTCTATCATCTGAAAAAAAAAGAAAAAAGAGAGAGACAGAGAGAGAGAAATATATCTAGTTTGTCATGCTGTAAGGTGAGTGAAAATGTTTATAAAGCACAAAGATCAAATTGGTGTTACAGATTTGGGAGGGGGACCCCCCCCAAACCCTAGAAATTAATGAATGGTAGGATTTCGATTATTTGGGACATGAAGGGAAGAACACACGCTCCAGAGGGATTCCTGGGCAAGCCTATGCAAAATGACCTGTCCAAGGTAGGGCCATTAAGAAACAATATGGGGCCATTGAGAGCCATTGGCAAGGCAAGAAAATTCCTTTCCCCCTGCCCTGAGGTGTGAACAGAGACAGGTGTTTGTTTGTTTTTTAAAATAATTTTTATTAAGTTTCATATTACCAAATTAAACACATCAAACCAATTAATCCAAATTATAACAATACATATCATGTAATCCAATTGTTTTCCAAATTATAAATTTTTGTGGGGGGTACCCATGCTTCTTGATCGGCAGGAGTCCAATCCTCGAATATTTGTGCTGCTTTCATCTTAAGAATGATGTTTCCAGTCCCCTCTTCTCAATCCTTGTCGTTACTCATTTTCCTTTTCATTCACCTCCGAGTTGCTCCGCAAGTGGGTTAAAAAAAACAGTCTTATTTGTGTTTCTGTGTGGGCTTTGTACTGCTCTCTCGGAAATCACTCTCATCCAATAGTCCAGGCATTTCCACTCGAGCAAGCAATCGCCATTTTGTCATTCCGATGAAATACAGTCTAAAAGCCCGCTTGTTAACTTTCCCGACCTGTTGCATCGTAAATTAGTCTTTTCCAGGAGGGCTGCCCCTTCCAGATCACAATCTCCTCGAAAATAATAAATCTTCGGCTCGCCCTCCCCAAGACCAACTCCAGCAACACAGGTCTCGTATCACATCTCCATTCTAACTGCGTCACAAATAGAGCCCTTCTTCTTTCCAAATCCTTCACAGAGTAAAACCTTTAAGTTCATATTATTCCCACACAATTCATTTTTAGTCCCATTTGCAATTAGTTGCTGTGACTGATCTTCTAAGAGGGAGGGTTATTAGTTAATCACATAGAGCAAAAAAATAAAAAGTCGTTTCCCCCCCTTCAGTTCTGTTGCATTCCATTCCACATACCATGTCTGTAGTACTTTGAGGTAATCTTCCGTCTCAGTCTTCTTCCTTTCAGTGGTAAAATTGTTAGCAGATAAAAACCTCCTGCCTCTCTTGAAGCATGTGCGTTATCTTTCCCAATTTTTTTCCTTTTAAGTAACGCAACTAGTTTCGCACCTGGAAGCAGCTTCGGAGGAGTTCCGAGGCCTGCCGAGGGTTGTGCACCCAGTGCCTCACCCCCTCCTTCTTCCGAACTCGGGGGTGATTTATGGCAACAGCGGGTGAAAACTGCATCTCTCCCCCCTGGAGAGATGAAGGGAGACGGATTTACTCCCCATAATCAGCCTCTAATTACCTCGCGCGGGCTGGATAGATGTTAATATCCGCCATCTTCCAAGGCGCCCCTAGTGGGCCCCCCGAACAGAGACAGGTGTTTGGAAGGTTGCCAGGGTAACTGGAAAAGTGAGTCATGAGCAAGGGTTGCTGGGAAGAAGAAGCAGGAAGACTGGGATCCATCTTGGGCAGGCTGACTGGGAGAGATGTCTTGGACTCCAGGGCTGCACTGTTGAATTACAAGCCCCTCTTGAGATGACCATGCTGTAATATTTGGACTCCTTGCATGCAGAGTGAAGGTGTAAATTGGTGAATAAACTATATTTCTTAAAGCTACGACAGTCTCCAACATTTCTCAATTCTCCAAAGGACCCCAGACCCTGAGTGAGTGCCATGGGCTCCTGCCACCGCTTGGCAGAGAAGGGGAGGCACCTGACTTTTGGAACATTATTCAAATACCCGAATTCTAACAAGCTGCACTTGGATACAACCTAATATAAGATGCCACAGAAAGTGAAATGTTTCCACAGAAAACCAAAAGGCTGTAAGAAAAGCGAGAAACTGCATATAATGCACATTTCAGAGATACTTGATGGGGCTCAACTATTATAAAACGAGTTGTCTGAATCTCTTCCTCATTTCACTACTCCTTTGAGCAAAAGGTGGTGACAGTTGTTGCCATTTTTTCTCCCTTGACAAGGACATAATGCTGGAAGACTTGACCTTCTTCCCCACTTCTTTCAGCTCTATGTGTCTTTCAAGATTCAGATGAATGCTACTGTGGGTTTTTCTCTCTTTCTGCCTTGTGTGTGTGTTTGTGTGTGATCCAGGGGCAGAAGGGAGAGAAATGAGCAAAAGAGAAGGGTCCACGGCATGTGATCAAAAATGTAAATGTGCCCTTGGGTTTAAAAAGGTTGCTGGCTGCTTTTCTAAAGTGTCTCCTAACTTTCTGGAGTAGATTTGGGAATGGCAGAGGGGACTGCAGAGAGGAGAGGGAATCAGCAAACATCATTTTCTCCTTCTTCCACTTATGGAAGCTTCCTCTGGATCAAAAAACCTCCTAGCAGTGGAAAGACACAAACTGGACTTTTCAAGAATCTACAGAAGTTCAAATGCTTCAGTGTCAAGCTTAAAGGCTGTAACAAAGGTTTTTCTTAGGGATACTTGATGTCTGTACTCATGTTTACCTCTTTTTGCCGATGCTATATATACGGGAAATATATATATATATATATATATATATATATAGATATATATATATATAAATGGCTTGGCATATTTCAGGTTTAAGAAAAAAAAGAGAGGCAGCTATTTTTTATTTCTGTGTTTCTATCAAGATCAGGGCCATACCACCTCACACACAAAGGTTTTCAGTGGAGTTTGATCACCCATTCAGCTGTGAATCATCACCTCTTGGGTATTCAAAGGGGTGGAATTAAGTGATGGGCATGCAGGTGTGGACCAACCCTCAGTCTGGCAGGTCATTAGGCCTGCTTGGCCTCCCCATTTGTCTACCAGACCATTTTAGCCAAGCCACTCCTACCTCTGCCACACCTGACACCATATATGGTGTAGGTCACATAAATTCACGTCTGGGCCAAAAGAGGGGTTCACAGGAAATGTTGATCAGTGACACCGTCGAAACCTTTTCCAAGGTGCTTTGAAGGTCTAACTGTCAGCTGGGGCTGACAGAGAGCCCTGGAGAGACAAAGCTCTGACAGTCAGCCAGCTGCCGTTGCCCTGGCTAGTTCAACTCAAGGAATTCCTTAATTCAGCTGTTGGGGCTGGGAGAAGTAGGCTGGATTCACATGTGATGAAGGGCAACATATAAATCTTTAAACAAAGAAATAGTAGACAGTGGAAGTCCAAATCCCATTAAAAAAAGAGAGTTAAAAAAAATCCCATTTAAAAAAGAGAGAGTTTTGAATGTAATTCAAACATACATATACAGAAATCTGGATTTTCCCCCTCTAAGGAAAGGTGAGACACAATATAGAAAACAATAATTTTAGCCTATAGTTTTTTTTATAGACCAATAAAAATGCATTGCCTTTGACTTGGAGTATCTATGCTGGAAGCCCAGCCTCAAAGCTTCCTACACTGAACGGAAGAGACATGGCCCCAGGTACAAGGCACCTGGAGGATAAGGGCAAGGGTTTTGAATTGTCTGGAGGCAGACTGAGTGTTAAACCTGGAGGTTGCCTAAAAGTAGCATCATCTTCTCCTCTTATTTTCAGTTAATCCTTAATTCAGTTAATTCATTACAAAAAGAAAGAATGGGAAAGACTTTCTTACCATTTTCCCAATCATCATTACATATGGCCCCAAATACTTGTTCACCCCGAAGATGTCCAGCAGTCGGATATACCAGTAAATGATGTTGACACAGTATATGACACGGCCATCGCTCCTAAACGGCTGATCTTGGAGGCGAAGCACCATTCCCACAGAAAATAGGAGAATAGCAATGAGGTCAGTAACGTTCCAGTACTCTTGGAGCCACACTTTCACTTTTTGCAGCAGCTTCCCAGGTTCTGACATTAATATCTAGAGAAAGAGGGATGGAAATGTTAGACATGTTACTTCATGTTGAGCCCTATACATGGAACAAGTATTCACATCTCTTAAAGAACCCAAACAATAAGATAAACCCTCTTATTGCATGATTCAGGAACAAGGGCCAGGAAACACAGGTGAGCAGCTGTGCTCTGGACTCTGTGATGTTAACCTATGAGGGAGTTGCATTACCTGGGATCATAGACTTACAGACTATTATTATTATTATTATTATTATTATTATTATTAGCAGTAGCAGCAGCAGCAGCAGTAGTCCTATTTCTCTAGAGTTAGATGTGTCAGAGCTCACGCCACAAAGAATTGTACCCTGCCCATCTGGCTGGGTTGCTCCAGCCACTCTGTATGGCTTCCAACATTAGAGGATGGATGGCGGCTAATGGATTGAGGTTGAATCCTGACAAGACAGAAGTACTGTTTTTGGGGGACAGGAGGCGGGCGGGTGTTGAAGACTCCCTGGTCTTGAATGGGGCAACTGTGCCCCTGAAGGACCAAGTGCGCAGCCTGGGAGTCATTTTGGACTCACAGCTGTCCATGGAGGCGCAGGTCAGTTCTGTGTCCAGTATTACCACCTGACCCCACCCCACTCACCATTCCCCTCCCCCTCTTCCTCGCCCCTTTTCTTCCTAATCTAATACTGCATGCAACACTAATGTCTCACAAGAAATGAAACTGATCTGTAGAAAACGCAACTTGATAAGAGACAATGCACGTCTTTTTGTAAACTAATAAATCTTTAATAAAAATATATTTTTTAAAATTAGTACAAACATCTTTACTGTATTTTTTAAAGAGCATGTTCTGAGTATTCATCCATGGAACCACTAGCATCTATTTATTATGTATATTATTGCCTTCTTTATTATTTATATATATATTATTCTATTCCTTTTTATTTAATTTTATTCCATTTGTAAATAATTTTTGAAAAAAAACGCTTGTTGAAATATAAATATCAGTGACTTGAGAACATTCACAGAGAATGACTCATATTTCACACCCTTCCCTAGACAATCATATTTTTATATCAACAAGCTCCCCCCCAAGAAATATTTACAGTTGGAATAAAATTAAATAAGAAATAGGCAAAAATCCAATGGATTATTTGAAAATTGAACATCAGTATCACAAGTCAACTCTCTTGAAGTTTTGGAGGCCTGATTCAATGCTGAAGAGCCGTCTTGTGGGTGTGATGAATATTATTTTCTGCACTGTTACTATACAACAAACAATTTAAGGGTGATCATTGTACATTCTGAGCATCATATTTCAAGCTGAAGAGCTCAAGTGTGGATTAGGAATCATGTGTCTAAGTGTGCGGGTGTTACTCTATAAATCATCATGTACAATAGAAAGCATAAAGTCAGTATTAATTGTACTAGTCAGAACAATATAGTTTGTGATCTTACAGTGCAACTAGACATACAGTGGTGCCCCGCAAGATGAATGCCTCGCAAGACGAAAAACTCGCTAGACGAAAGGGTTTTTCGTTTTTTGAGGTGCTTCGCAAGACGAATTTCCCTATGGGCTTGCTTCGCAAGATGAAAACGTCTTGCAAGTTTGTTTCCTTTTTCGTAAAACCGTTAAAACCCAAGGTGTATTGCTTGAAGAGGTGCAGTTGCGACTTGACTTCGAGGAGCAACTCATAGCACGCGGTGTGGTAGCCTTTTTTGAGGTTTTTGAAGACTTTGGTGATTTTTGAAGCTTTTCCAAAACTTCTTTTGCAGCCATTCGGTAAGTTAAACTTTTAAAACTTTTTGGGGGGTTTTTGGGTTGGGGTGTTTGGAATTCAAGGACTTGGTTCTGGGTTTGAATTTCTGTGTGGTGGGTGGCTGGGTGCTTTTGAATTTTTTGGATGTGAAGCACTGATTTTGGGGGGGGGGGGTTGCGCAGGTAGGAGCTGTGCTGCCATGGGACCCAAGAAGACTGCTGCTGCAGAGGCCGGCGAGGGGAAGAAGGAGAAGGTTACGCTGGAAATGAAGAAGGAGATCATCCGGAAGCACGATGGTGGAATGCGTGTGACAGACCTCGCCAGGGAGTACAGGAGGAATCCATCGACCATCGGGACCATCCTGAAGATGAGGGAGAAGATCCTTGCGACTGATGCAGCCAAGGGAGTCACCAGGATCGTGAAGAACCGCCCAGTTGTTCTGGAGGAGGTGGAGAAGTTGCTGCTCATCTGGTTAGAAGAGAAGCAGCTTGCAGGGGACACAGTGACTGAGGCCGTCATTTGTGAGAAGGCCAAGGCCTTGCACGCAGACCTCGTCCGGGAACAGCCAGGAACCTCAGGTGAGCCAGAAGTCTTCAAGGCAAGCAGAGGCTGGTTTGACCGGTTCAAGACGAGATCTGGAATCCACAGCGTGGTCAGGCATGGAGAGGCTGAGGGACATTTGCCAGAACTGAGGGACATTTGCCAGAAGTGGAAAGATGTTCAGGCTTTTGCACAGCGGCACCACCCTGACAAGGACCTGACACGTGACCTTGCGAACACTTTTGATACGAGGGTCATGTCGTCTTTCAGGGAGGTGCTGAAACGGCGGATGAAGCAGCAGACCATGGACAGGTTCTTCAGCAAGAAGCAAAGAGTGGAAGAGGAACCTTCTTCGAGTTGTCCCCCAGAGTCTTAGAAAATGTACTGTACACTTTGTTGATTTTTAAATGTTTTTCTGTCATGTTTAGAAACTTAATTTATTGTTCCTTCAATTTTGAAATGCTCTTTACAGTATGTGTGACTTTAAAGAGCACTTAATAAACTCTTGTTGTACCAAATTTGGCTTTGTTTGGACTTTTTTTGACCATAGGAATGCATTAATTGAATTTCAATGCATTCCTATGGGATTTCGTGCTTCGCAAGACGAAAAATTCGCTAGGCGAAAAAACTCGCGGAACGAATTAATTTCGTCTTGCGAGGCACCACTGTACAATGCAGGAGATCTCAAAAGGTGTTTTTTTGTTTTAGAAAACAGCCATGGGAGATGAGATTAGATGAGATTGGGAGCACAGTGGCCCCCCCATGCCAATTCCCCAATTAAATATATTACCTCTCTCATCTTCTCTATTCCCATTGTGAAAATATACGAGATAACAATCCACTCCTGTGTGGAAGGCCAACGATCCATCTTCACCAACACAATATAATTGAACAGCATCAGGTACCCAACGTATGCCATCTGCAAAGAAATAAACTCAGTTTTCCTGGATACTGTATAAATGTTCAGCTTACCTAGGTTATTTAATCAAACCATACTAGTTTTCTATTCCTAGACAAAAGAGCCATGTGCAATTTCCAGCTAGAAGGCCAATGCTCTGGTTCAGCCGTTCTTTGTGGATGCAGGAGTGCCAAAGCATGCCACAAAATGCCTCCTCATTCATGCCAGGGCTTCCACATCTCCTTCAGTTCCTTGTCTGCAGGGAGATGCATGTTCACAGCTGCCCAGCTGAATGGCTAAATCAGCACATGGCATAGCAGTGCTTCCTCAGAGTGTATCTACTGTAGACTTCAAATATTGGAAGTAGTCTATATAGATCAATAGCAATCTCAGTTATCTGACTGTGGTCCTTTTTCAGCCTCAACAAGTACCAAGCATGCACAAGAAGGAGGTACCAGCTGGTTTTGGAAGCGGCAAAATTTTCAGAATACTTTTTTTTAAAGGAAAAAGCCCTCAGAGGGGACCCCGCCCCCAACAGCCTAATGAGGATGAGGACTGACTTAGACGGCTGACTGGGGAGGGTGGAGAACCAGACAAATGTGTTGGGATGGGAATGTGGTGCTTGGAAATGTGAATAGAAACACCCCACACAGCAATGTTTTGTTGCAGGCCCCACCTTTTCATACCAATAGGCACTAATCTCCAAACCAATGAATGTATCTATATGGGCCATAATTATATATAATTAATTTTTCCTCTGACATTATTTACAGCCATTTTTCAATTAATCACAAATAAGAAAAAGGGGAGGGGAGGAAACCCCATGCCAATAGGACAATATTTACAAAATGGGGTAAACGAAATAAGGAGATGAGGATAAGGAAAGTGCTGTAATGTTTCAGGCACATGAAACAGAAGAAGCATTGCACATTAAACTGTTGACTAATGACCACAAGTCTCAAGAAATGTTTTCACATTAGTCCTCCAGATGTTCATGTTGATACATAGCTTCTTTAAAATATCCCATTAATTTCTCTTAATTATCAAGTGACACACAGAGGGGCTAAAGTTTGTGTCTTTCTGCAAACGCTCTACAATATTTATAAGCATTATCTACTTGCACATAGTTAGATATTACAATAATGCTTCACTTAGACAATGTAGACATACTGATGAGGGGGGGCCTTTACAAATTTGCGTCATTAGGGACAGATGACAAAATGATAGTCGCTCCTTACAGTGTAGAACCAAAATTTAACAATTGGTGCATTGTAGAACTCATAGATCTTGCGGCCAAAGGGGATCAATCTGTGTCTGCTCTGAACTTCCTCTTCCTCTTTTTTTCTTGAAGATTCCCCATTGCCACGTCCCAACATTGCCTACAGTTAAAAAGAATAAAAATTACTATAATAGATTATTCGCCAGCTGCCCAATCCAGTTTCACTGGATCAACTGATGGGACAGTGTCTAACAAATGTAAAGCACACACAGACATTTCAAACTTACAATAAGAATCAGGTAATTAAGCAACATGAAAATTCATCCTTTAACTTTTGTATATTTGAAGCTGCCATTCATAACGTTGATTGAATCTTCAAATGCTGTAGCAACACCACTTCAACAGAAACTACAGACATAAATGCAACTCACGAATCCCTTCCACTTCTCACTTCTTTAAAAGCAACTATACAAACAAAAAGCTTATCTTTTTTCCTTGCTGATATGGTTTTCTCTTGTTGCTTTATAATAGGTAATTTTTAAAAAGAAAAAATGGTTAGCATAAAGAACTTAAGAATCACAAAACTGACAATTATGATGCTGGGATCGGAACAAACATGAGGGGCAGCAGACTGAAGAGAGTGGGAAAGTTAGATAGTAAAACAGCATTTCCTACTTCAGTATTTTATTACTGAAGTAGTAAGGGGAGTATGTAGGGGAGGGTTAGTACCTCTGTTGGGGGACACATTGTGCTCCTTCTGGGGTACTTTGCCCCCCTTTGGCTTCCACCCTGCACTCAGCTCCCATCGGTGGCTCCTAGAAGCTGCTAGCCTGCGACAACTGCCACACAGAAAGCAACAGCTTTGACTGGCTGGCTCAGCCAGGTGAGAGGAACCAATGGGTCTCCAACCCTCGATGAGAGGCTCTGGCAGATGGAGCACACGAGATCAAGAGTGGGTCCAATGGTCAAGTTTCTGCACGTGCCGTGGAGTGAAGTAAGGGGCAGGTGGGGCTCATCAACCTGGGAAGGTAGCCCACCTAGGCGAAAGAAAACTCTGACCCAAAACCTCTGCTGCCTTGCAGGAAAAAGGCTAAGAAGTAAACCCTACACAAATCTTGAGCGGAGTCCCTAAGACGGTTGATTAGTGCATTGCAAGCCTCCATCTGGCAACTCCTGCAGCCAAGCTCGTGCCAATGTATTGCTCTGCTTTCCTTTGGATCATATCAAGGAGGCTGAGAGAGAGGTCTTGTCATCTGGGCAAGCCGGGACCTCCAGACACACTGCCCAAGTCTTGAGTCCTGGGGAGGTCACTTGGATGCTGCTAACGCAATGGTTTGACTTCACCCCCTAATACTTTTCAGGCTGCCCTAGAGCCTACATGAGAGTTGTTTTAAATGCAGAATTAAAACAAAAAATGGTGGGAGAACTTAAAATGTCAACAAGCAAGTCAATACAGTTCTAACAAGCCTTTCTATGGCAAACACGCATAGTAGCTGCAATACTGTGCTAGTAAATGAGCAAGTAAAAGGACCCAGGACTTCTAGAAAACTAAAGGCGCTTCTGTGCATTTTAGCACTTCATATTTCAGCAGAGTATTCCCATCATCAGAGGCAGGAATTGCTCCGTTTCAGAGCTGGCTGCTTTGCTGTTAGGCACATTAACCTTTAATGATTAATTTAATTGAACTTATTTTGTCCACAAGTCTTTTAAAGCTTCTTTTCAGCTGACTCTAATCCATATAAATATGTAAGTGAATTAGAAAACAGGCCATAGAATTGTAGAGTTGGAAGGGACCCCAAGAGTCATCTAGTTCAACCTCGCAGTGCAAGAATCTCAGGTAAAGAATCCATGACAGATGATCATCCAATTTCTGCTTTAAAATCTCCAAGGAAGGAGAGACCACAACTTCTCAAGTGAGACCATATCTCTGTCAAACAGCTCTTACTGTCAGAAACATTCTTCCTGATGTTTAGTCAGAATCTTATTTCTTGTAAGTTCGACTCCTACCCTCCAGAACAGGAGAAAACAAGCCATCTTCCATGTGACAGCCCTTGAGATATTTAAAGATGGCTATCATATTGTCTCTCACTCTCCTCTTTTCCATGCTAAACATACCCATCTCCTTCAAGCACTCCTCATAAGCCTTGGTTTCCAGACCCTTGATCATCCAGTTGCCCTCCTCTGCACACATTCCAGCTTGTCAATATCCTTCTTAAATTGTAGCACCCAGAATTCTGACTGATGAAGAATAGCATGGTACTATTATTTCCCTTAATCTGGACACTAGACTTCTGTTGATGCAACCTAGAATAACATTTGCTCTTTTTTTGCTGCTGCATCACACTGTTGACTCATGTTAACCTTGTGGCCTAGATCCCCGAGATCCTTTTCACATGTAGGGCTAGTAAGCCAGGTGTCCCTTACCTTATACTTGTGCATCTGGTTCATTCTAAGTGCAGAACCTTACATTTGTCCCTACTGAAATTCATTTTGTTAGTTTGGGCCCAGTTCTGCAACCTGTTAAGGTCATTTTGAATCCCGATTCTGTCTTCTGTGCCTTAGCTACCCCTCCCAGTTTGGTGTAATCTGCAGATTTGATGAGCATCCCCTCAGCTCCTTCATCCTCAATTAATATTTTAGAATGCCTGAATATTTGAAAACAGTAACAATGATCATTCTCTTGCTGATTTACATCTAAAGTGGCCCCCTATGCACACTTACCTGGGAGTAAGTGCCAGTAAACACAGGGGGAATTTCTTCTCAATAAGTAAAGAGGCATTGGATTGCTGTTCAAGGGCCAGGGCACCTTGCCTCTTGTAATTCACCTTAGGACCTGTTTCCAGTTCTTTACTGGCACCAAATATGAAGGAAATTGTGCAAATCAAACAAAAGGTTTGATGTTATGCTTTTCTGTAGTAAACATAACAAAATTCAGATTCACCAGGCGGAAGAGGGAAAAATTGCCCAATTACCTTTCAGTGAAGTGCATCATCTTTTGGTAAGAAATGAAAGATAAAAATGTGCAACCAAATGTATTGCATTTAGAGAGCCAAAACCAAGATCAGTATAAAATTTTAAAAGATTCTGGAAGCCAAAGGGACAGTTGTAGTGGCAAATCCTTTTCAACAAGGGGAGTTTTTGTAGCCCTTGCACCCTGTTCCTCTTTGACAAAGTTTTTGGCCTGTTGTCACTTACAAATATGTTAGTGGCCTTGTGTTAGCTTTGAAACAAGGGAAACCCAAATCCAGTTTGCAGGGGAAGAGATAAGAAAGTTGCTGTGCCTCATGATTAAATCCGTATAATCTAGTAGAAGGAAGTATTGCCATAGGTGGACAAAACTACCCTTTGCTTGTAAGTGTACAAATGCTTCTGCTGTTTTTATACTTGGTGCGCCACCTCTCAACTCCTTGCTGGTTGAGGTTGTGTTGCACCAACCTTTCACTGCCTAAATAAATGTCCTGTTTTGCTGGCAATTGGTTTCTGAATTCTATTTACCATTCCAGGCAACACAGGGGATTGGGCTTGAGCCCTGATGGTTTCCCGGTGCATGTGTGCACCCAATAGGACTCAGCTAAATAAAAGTGTTGAAAGAGAATTGTTTCCACATTGTGGTGAGGCACACTCAGCACAGCTAAGCAAAGCCAATTTTCTAAATGGGATGCCAACAGTAGAGATGGGCAGATTCAACTGGCAGAAAGCAGCACAAAACTGACAATATTTGTTACTCACTTTGAGTACTACTGTTTCAAAAGACTACCCTTTGGCATCAGCTCAGCTTCTGTGCACTTCCAGAAGAGTTTGAATCACAAAAAAGAAAGAAAGAAAGAAAGAAAGAAAGAAAGAAAGAAAGAGAGAATCCTGTTTATTATCTAGGTATCTGTATGTTTGATTGTTGTTTGTTTATTTAACAAAAAATACACACTGCTTGATTGTAGTAAAACCTCTAAGCAGTTTACAAGAAATATTGAAATTATTAAAAAAACCCTAAAAACAATTTAAACATAATTAAAATGGGCAGGTTTTTGCATTCAAAGTTGGCAGTGGCGGGGAGAAGTAAATGAGGTTTCCTTCTTGTAGTTTTTGGGCAACAACGTAGGCATGAAAATGCAGAGGTGGCCCCCAGGAAAGCCAGCTTTGCCACTTCTGAAGGATAATGCAGTGGGCAGGGAGTGAAGATGAATGAAACGAAGAGCTTCACACTTGTGGTTCCAAGTCACAGAAAATGCCCATAAAGCTGATTCGGCAGAAGTGGGTGAGTGGGCATGTGGCAGAGCAGAAGGACTTCAGCACCCAGCCTTTCCCAAGAAATCACCATGAGCAGAACTATTAAAAAGCACAGAACTGAAAAGAACAAGGGGATGCATTACTTCAACACAAATCGTTTCAGGGGTTTTTCCTTTGGTGTGCTTCAGAAAAAGTGCTGGAAAGCGGAAGAGAGGCCTGCCTCTTTAGCGAGGGCATTCCAAGCCAGGCTGCTTCCATGGAGGAAGTCCATTCCTTGGTGACTACAGAGAGGGTGGCAGAGACGTAATCTGAAGCCCAGGGCAAAACATAGTTTGGGGGTCCTTCTCCCACACCCCAACAAATGCTGTCAGTTACATATACATGGAATATCAACCTAGTAAATGTATTACTGTCAGGCTTGGGGGATTCTATCCTCCGCCGGCAGAATCAAGGATCAAGGCAGAAGCAAGAAAGTTCGCATTAATGGTTTTATTCAGTTCTCATGGTGCAAGACAAAGAATCTAGTCCTAAACTCCATAGTGACGCTGCTCACTCTGAGCTTCTCCCCTTCTTTCCCCAGCATCAGCCTGTGGCCCTACGGATGGCCTCAGGAGTCAAACGTCTTTGAGGACGCTGGCTCTCCTACGCTTTCCAAGGACATCTCTGCTGGCAATTCTCCCCCTCTCCCTCCTTATCCTAACACCTCCTAACTTGGCAGCTCTGAGTTCTGCTGCAGTTCAATCCTGTCTCCCTCTTCTCTTGAAACCACTGGAGAAGGGGCCCTGATTCCCCCTCCCCCCTCCTCTGAGGGAAACAAAGGAGGAGGAGGGGGTGATTCCCAGCCTTCCCCTTCAGACCCTGACAATGACAGTTAATCATGAACATTGCTTGGAAAGGCTGGGAACTTGTTACACAAAATATGGAAACCCAGAAACCCAGAAAGCTGACTTCTATGGAGTCACTAGGCTGTCCTGACCGGCAACGTTCCTCCAATGTTTCTGGAAATGTCAGGGATTGAACCAGGGATCATCTGAACACAAAGCAGATACTCCACCCCTGAGCCCTTCCACTAACAGTGATGGATCTTGGGCTCTCACATTTCAGCAGCACCCTGTGCAACGCCAAAATTTGGCACCTGTCGCACTCCATTTTAAATAATAGTTGTGGTGTCCCCCGCAGCCCCCTGAGGCTCTGTGCCCAGTGCAACCAAACTGTCAGGGGCTGGTCTGGATCGGAAGAGTGGGAGATGCAGATCCTAGGATCAGATCCTAACAGAAGAGGAGGGGGAATACTTGCTCCCCCTTGCTTCCAGAGTCTCCAGAAGCAGGCAGACAGGCAAACACAGAGGCTGCACAATTGAGAGAGGAGCTCCCCAGCTTTGAGATAGTAACTAAGCAACCGGAAGGGAGGGAGCAGCTGGGCGATACATCAATCGAGAGTGGAGGGGAAGCCCCTCCCCCCAAAAAACTTGGAGGTATGATCGTGTAGGAGAACAAAGGAAATGCGGGGGGGGGGGGAACCTCCCACTGGCGTGCTTCTTGCTGCAGAAGTTGAGGGGAGGAGTCAGAGTAAGCAACTGCTATGCTTGCAGAGAGTTGTGTGTCTGTGCTTGCAACATGATACTGTAATAAAAAGACTATAAATCTACTGAATGCTTGTTAATTCCTATCTGAGAGCAACCAGAAGGGAGAAGGGAACTCCTGTACTTGACACAAACTGATCACACTCCCCTAAACCCTCCACCTTCCCTTCAACTCCTGGCTTTTGCAATCTTGCACAAACTGTACAACTCAGCAATCGTGCAAAACTGACTGGGTGGTGGGTGCTGATGGTGCTCTTTGCCCTTGGTGGTATTCCTTCTTGGACCCGCTGTGATAGAAACAGAGTTGAACATAATGTTTGAAGTGCTATAATTGCTGGAACTTTTGTTTATTATAGGAAATTAATGGAATCTGTTAACTAAAAAACAAGCCAAGCTCAGATTGAAATGTCTGTCTGTTCCACTGGCCCTTTGCTAGGCTCCCGCTTTATTTCTGAAGTCGCCTTCTTTATCGGAGTATTTCATGCTATAATGGCTCTGAAGTAACTGTAGGCCACTGAGCACAAATGTCTACCCACACTCACAAATGACAAATATTTGCGAAACTGCCGGGGTCTGGACTAGGAGTTCAACCTAAGAACCATGAATGTTCTTTTCATGGTTGTTAGTTCATAATATTCTTACTATTCACAAACACTGTAGGTAGAAGCTAAAACAGCAAATGGTTTGCAACGTGCAGAAAAATACTTCTCTCTGTGAGAGGATGGAAAGGATGGAAAGGGGTGATAATTTGCTAGGAGGCTGCTATACGTAGGTGGCTTCTGTTTTTTGAACGTAACTGATTTATCACGAGTCGGGCTGAGTCATGCAATAATGCATCAGGCACCGATTGGTAACATATTTGGGGGGGAATGAACTTGTGCTATATATATAGGGACTTGTCTGTCAGTGTGGCAGGTATAATGATCCCATCCCTGGGCGTGAGCAGTTGCATGCAGCGTGGCAAGGGGTCTGCTTGCGCTGAAAAATTCCCTGCGGCGCCCACCTCCTGCCTTTTGGTTTATTATCTCCTGCTTCCTTTGCAGCCAGCCTGACTTTCAGGCTAATTGCCCAGCACTCATTTCTTCCTCCACTCTTTTCCTGCTAACAATATATGGTGTCTGGTGTACCTTTTGTTCATTTTAGCACATGAACAATGAAATAATAAATTCACAACATCAGAGAAAACCAATATTATGCATTCTGGAACTGAAGGCTCCTGGAGGTCACTTGAGCCCTCTGCTGTTTACTGCAAAGAATTTGAGTGCCCACAGAATCCTTAGAGATATAAGTACTGGGTGTGCCATGCTGTTTTATTGTAATAATCAGTGTGTGTGTGTGTGTGTGTGTGTGTGTGTGTGTGTTATTTGTTAAATTTCTATATCACCCTGCATCTGAGGATCTCAGGGCAGTTTACAATATAAAAACACAAAAGTGCATAACATATTAACAAACAAAAACAAATTGTTGTTTAATTGTTTGAATGATTGTTTTCCCTTCCCCCACCTATGTTTTTAGATGTTCTTATTTTATCTGTAAGCTGCCGTGAGTCCCTGCCAGGTAAAAATGCAGGGTATAAATAAATAAATAACTACTACTACTACTACTACTACTAATGTTAGAAGGTAGAGGGAAAAGAACCCAGGCTGAAGGCAAAGACCAAGGTCAGATGGTGGAGAGGAGGGAACATGGAAAACCATGCTATTTCTCTAAAGAAACACACAGAGACAAGACAAGACATTACAGCGCCCTGTGCTGCTACTAGAGGAAAATATAGTGTTGGGAAAAAGGAATGGGAACAGGCATCAAAAGAGAGGGTAATTGTAATTCACTACATTGTAGCTGTGCTTATTGGATTTGAATGAGCACTTCACTCATTGATCAGAAGCCAGCAGTAATTAACTACAATTAAAGCAGAACAAGTTCATTTTGGAGGAAAACAACCTGTCAATCTTAAACTGGCTTCTGATCTTTCCCTCTTTTTCCAGGATCTTGCCTGCATAGGGGTCCTGTAGGCTGATCTTGTGCCTAGCGTCTTCTGCTTCCCTGAATTTTGGGTCTTGTAGGCAGAGCCTTCTGCTTGCCCGCAGATAAGATCTTGGGGACAGCTCTTGCTGATGGCCTGTAGGAAACAGCCTAATTTTTAACAAAATTTAATGAAGTAAACCTTAAAAAAATGAATATGGGCACTGAGAGACCAGTAAGTAGCTATGATAAAATAAAAAATGCTTGTGATGTCTTATGCCAGCAGAAGCCCAGGAGGCTTTTTAGTGGTTTAACTGGTTTGATTCTTTCTTGTACATACAATAAATTCATTTAAAATTAGCATGGCAAAGTCACACATGAATATTTAGTCAGTGTTGACTTCAAAGGGACTTCTCACTAAATGTTTGCCATCATAAGCAGCTGTTATATAATGTGTGCTTCTAAAATGTTTAAGAAAAGCAAATAAACATTAGAGGAGGGAAAATAAAATAAAATAAAACTATGCAAACGGCACCTACTAAAGATAATAGAATAAGACCATTAAAGAACAATTTACAATCTACTCAATAAGCTGTCCCATAATATTGTAAGTGGATTGTCAGGCAACAGAAGCAGCTGGAAGAACCCCCTAATTTCCATATATTCACAAAGATGATCCTCAAAAGGGTCAGGCATTCCAGCTTCCAACTGAAAACAGGAAATCCTAAAACTTGTCGACTGAATGGTTCCTTAACCTATTTGTGAAAAACTCATAGAAAGATATTCCAGATTGTTTAATGATCACTAAATATATGTCAATATTTGTGAACACCTCATCTCTATAATGCTAAATGTGGACCTATCACCAAGTGAAACTATTACGTTCCTGTTTTTGTCTCCAATTCTTAACAGCAACTTAATCATCCTTGACGGCTCACTTTATTTGACAAAACTTCATAGAGGCTTATGGATCCTGAGCCCCAACTTTCCCCCAAGATGCTGGAGTTGCCCTAACATCTCAGCTGGTTTCTGGTTTTTTGGTGGCAAGAGTAAAATGAGTATTGGTCAAGGATATGATCACTTAAGCGTAATTTAATTGGAGCTGTGGTTTTTAGCTTGTATCTCAGTCCTTGAGATGGAGTGGACAAGAAATGCAAAAAATGTTAGGAACGGTGCATTTGCTAAGTATAACAGCAATAGCTGGAGATAAACACTTTTGTTACCTTGCAACAGTAAGCAGCTTTAACATACAGTTGCTTACAAATACAGTTTTTCATTAACAATTGTATTTAGATTTAAACTTGAGAATAACAAAATGATGCACCACATCTAAAATATTGCTGTGACATCTTTTTTTTTGTAAATCATTGCTTTGCAGCAATAATAGTAAATAATTATTGTATTTGGGAAGAGTCCTGTGCTACTGATAGTCTGTACCTTCCATAATCCTTGTAAGTAGGATGTCTGTATAACGGTGTCCTTTACAAAAAGCATGATCAGCCATAGTCGGGTGCGCCTCCACTACTGAAGTCAAGGCACAACCAATGGTAGCCAGCTGCGTCACAATGCATTGTTTCCCAGAAGCAAAATGGAACTTCTGTAATTCGTTACCTCATTTGACTCTAGGAACTCTTCCTGGCCACAAGCTATACGACACGGCTTATACTCAGCCATGGTTACTTTCAACAGGGCATCTCGGGAGAGGTTCTGGGTGGATTGGGCTCCCTAAAAACATGGCACTCCTTAATAGAGGGTTCACCAACATGGCAGTCACAGGGGCTGCTCCTCTGCTGAAGTTAAGCTTGGAAAAAGGTGGTCTATTGTGGCCAATGGAACAGTTGTGGGGCACTATGTGTTTCTGCGGCCTCCAATTGTGCCCAAGGACCCTAAAAGGTTAGTGACCCCTCCCCTAACACATACCGAAGTGGAAATGGTAAGGGGGGGGTAATGGCTGTGCGAACCACTTCCAGCAATGTGTTCCCTTACTGTGAGTTCCATGTCCTCCTCTTCTTTTTCTTTCACTGGTTTTTCTGGTTCCTCTGGCTCTTTTTCTTGAAGTTGGATCTCTTGAGCCTGAGACATGTAAGGCATGTCATCTTTGTTCTTGAACTCCAAGCTGAGAATTGAAGGAGGAAGTAGAATTCCTAGAATTACCTAAAGCAATAATAATGATAACAATAATCATCACAATTAACAGGTTATGGTTATGCCAGTTGCTTATTTAGTTTCAAATTACATGTGCTCTCTGGGCCATCCAATAATCTGATACTCATGCATGTGGGTTTCAAAATGACTCGCCAGGGGCTGGTGCGAAAACCCATTGTGTGGGCAAAGCCAGGGATAGCGGGAGCAGAGGCTGGCCATAGATGCTTCCTAAAAGACCTGGCGTCCTAGAGAGCTTAAAAGGAGTAGCTCAGCCTTGCCTTACGACACCTCCCTTTAGAGTTTAAAGTGGAAAGATTTGCAGAGGCCCCATCAATGCTTTACATGATCAAAGCTGTTACTGCTAATTCAGCACAACCTCTCCCTAAGCCTCAAGTTATGATATGATTTTAAAACAGTCCTGACCTTTAGGCTGGAATTTTTGCGCATCCGGAGTCTGCCCATCCACATGTCTGTGAGCAGCATTTGGCTACAAGTGTGAGCAATGAAATCGCGATGTTTGGCTGCCACTGCGAGTTGCAGGCACGTGGCATTGCTCCAGTTCTTCAGCTCGTAGGTCAGAAGTTTCATTGCCAGCTGCTCATCCTGCTTGTAGGATTGGTCCAGGAGCTCCACTGCCAGCTGGCCAAAATCCCTGCAATACAGGCCGCTTTTTGTTAGCTTGTGCAATCTGTTACATGGAAGCTAAACAACTGGGAACACTTCTGCTGAAAGGACTATGCTATGCTCAGGTGCGCTTGGCATATTGGTGCTGAAGGTTAGACATCTAGTGAAGCTCCTTAATTTACTGTTGCTAAGAGGTCCTAGCTCCCACTTGCTTCCTTTCTTCACCTTGGTGGCTTACATTTGAACCATCCCACTTCCTATTACCTGTTTGAGAAAAGCACATTTCCTAGGGAATCCTTAACTAAGGGAATATAGTGCATCCCCCCCCACCCAACTGTGCTAAGTGAATAGTAGAGGTATGGAATTCAAACATATAAGCATCCTCTTTTTTCATTCAACCCAGGTCTGAAGGGAAGTGCTAGAGGACTTTCAGGCAACCTGTTTTTATTGAGCATTCATTGTAATTTGTTTGCAGGGAAATTAGATGGCATTGATTGTTTAATAAGCATTCATCTCATTTGTTAGTGGGCAGGCTAGAAGACTGTTGTGTCCAACGAAGTCTTCTCCTGCACTTCCCACTACATTTCCCCTATTGCAAAAAGTTGGATCTTTTGGGTAATCACGCGCTAGAGCTCCAAATCAGCTTTAACTGCACAGCCTGAATTTGCTGCTTGTAATTTAATCCCACCAGAATATAGTGACAATCTGGAAGCACCCTTGGGATTTATGCAGTGTTTGGCCATAACAGGGGACTGGATACCAGTGAACTGACTGAGGATTTCATGGTACTAGATGAAGGTGATGATAGTTGTTCCTTGTCTTGACAGGCCTTGTTACTTCTGTGCGTATCTATGTGTTTGAGGGATGCTCATAACAGGCAACATTCAGCACCTCCTGCCTTTTCTGGGCTGGTTCACAGCCAATTCTGAAATCCTATGGCGTTAGAGAGCTTAGCCAGGAGGTTCACAACATTATATTGTGTGAAGGCTGCATCTGCTTTTACCTTAAGACCACTTAACAGCTGCCATTTGCATCTTAAGAACCTTAGACTATCATAATATGTGCTACTCAGAGCAGCCGTTTGATGGCACAATAGCATGAACTTAGGGCTGGGTCACCACAGGTGCATGATACCAGGGATTCAGCATCTGCACCAGTTTTCTATAACTTTCCCAGTAAAATGCAAAGTGCAATTTTTGACCATAAAAGTCCTGGGGTTTTATAGATACCTGAAATATTACCACTCCACATAAATCAATCCAGAGGAATTTATTTACTGTATTATCTACACATCACATTCCAACAGCAAAGATCAACGGAAAGGTCTTCTCCATGGCACCCTCATACCTATCCAACTCCTTGGGTCAATAAGGGCACTGAAATAAATACCTGGGTACTTCTGGGAAGTGTTATGCTATATTATTATATTATTATATTATATTATATTATATTATATTATATTATATTATATTATTATATTATATTATTATAATTAATACACACACACAACTTCTTGGCCCAACGACCCCCCAAAGCAGTAAACAGCACATTAATACATAGAAAGGTACAATAAAGGTACAGTGAACAGTAAATTGGCCCCAATATGATAATGCTTTACTAACTTAGGATTGGCTCACATTAACCTTCAGCTCTATAGTCACTATCCTCTCTTGCTACATCAGGGCATGCTGAGTTCACCAACCCACTTGCTTGTCCTCCTTGCCCAACTACAGGACTCTGACAATCCAGTTCCCCAGTAAGAGCCACAGGATATCTGTTGCTGATGCTGATGATAAGAAAAGTCTGTAATACCCCCCCCCAACCACACTGGATACGCCTTTGTGAGCTGCATGCAGACACAGCTCCCCAGAATCCTAGCTCTTACTTGGAAGCCAAGCTAGTTCACATTCCCTGCTCCTGCTCTCATGCAAGAACAAACCCACCTACAACTGGTCAGTGTAGGGGTGACTGGGACTTGCCACCAGAGAAGGAGGCTTGCTCCCTGAAAACCAGCTACAGTTGTGGCAAAGTTCTTACGATTCATGTGTGGGGCTATGTCTGGCTCTTGGAACAAGCTCCTGTTTTACAGGTGCAGCAGAAAAGCTGGGGAGGTTAAGGTTGTTTTCTACCTCCAAGCCAGCAATATTCCTGCTCCTTGCTTGCCTTCTGAGCCAATGACGGCCTCCAAATAAATAGGTTTCTCCCAGGAAACCTACTATACACAAGTGCAGGAAGGCATCTTGTTTGGTCTGGCTATCATCAGATCAGTGTTAAAAAGAAGTGGGGTCATTGTAAAAGGCTTTTAGGTAGTATCAGTAGAAACAAATCAAGATGAATTCATTAATTATTCAACCTGGAGTTATGATTTAACTCCTGAGATATGTCATCCACCATATCATTCTCGGATGCTTCGTGGGCCATGGCTTTGCAGAGCTTACAGGCCACTAAAGCCTTAGCCATGGCTTCCTCTCCATGTTGCCAGAAAAAGAGGGCCATCTTCTGACGCTTCATTAGCACAGCCCACACCATCAACTCATGAAAGGGAAAAGGGAAATGGTTAATCTCGGGATCATCAAGATCAATGTCCACTTCTTCCTCTCGCTTCTTGGTTGTTTTTCTTCCCCTCCGCAGTGGGACATCATCCTGTTAAATGGAGAAAACGCCATCAGACCAAAACAGTTTCAGCCATGTAATGTTTGTTAGGAGACATTAAACTAGTTCCTTTGCTACAGTCATAAGTTACTAACAAACATGCTCTCTTTAGTTTATATGACTCTAGATACTTTCTCACACAGGGCAAAACATCCACATTTTCTCACAATAATAATACATACTGCCTTGGGCCCTCCATCACAAAACAGATGTAAATAACCCAGCCTTTAATATATCTGAACAAAAATTAAGAATGATGCCCACAAAACAACAGTTTTAGTACTTCAAGAAATACTTGTTGAAATAAATAGCATTGCTAACTTCTATCCAGTCCCTGCATTAAAAACAATAAATCCCTGTTGAATGCCTTGCTGGCCAACTTAAGCCAACACAAATATTGTAAACTATATTATGTGTTTTATGAAATATCTTGCTTTAGAATTACGTGAATGTGGATTACATTCATCCTGTCAAAATTAGAAAGCGATCTCATACTGTTGTGGGAAAGACTGATTCCCATGCTGTCCTTGTGTACATTCACAGAGCTGATTTTTTTTGCTGCTGAGCTTTTTCCAGCAGTGCCCCGCAGTTGTTGCTTCCATGTGCCTATGGGGGTGGAAGAGCAAACTGCACCTGTGCTCCCGATACAGCACAGGAGGGGTGTTGGGCAAGTCTGGTCTTGAACTGTGCTTTGGTCATTTCTAGTAGCAGATCCCAGCATATTAATGGTAGTAGAATCTCCCCAATGTCACATGCACCAACCTATAATTAAGAATCAGCCTTAATTCACCTTTCTTTATGAATAGCCTTATAAAAACTCATCAATTTAGAGCCAAACAAGAAATTAGCTACCTATCTGTGCCTTTAAGTACAGAGTTCATTTGGTTTTAACACAACACAACCAGTCAAGGGCGCCCTATCAGATGTCAAGGAAATAAACAACTACCTGACTTTTAGAAGACATATGAAGGCAGCCCTGTTTAGGGAAGTTTTTAATGTTTGATGGTTTATTCTGTTTTAATATTCTGTTGGGAGCCGCCCAGAGTGGGGGCACCGGACGCAGCGATTTGGGGGGCTGTGCGAGGCTCCCAGCCCCCCCACCAGATGACCTCAGCTGCACCAGGACAGGGATCGCCCCAGCGCTGGCCCAGCGAGGCTTGGAGGAAGTCCAGCGGATAGCGCAGTGGAGCCGCCCCCCGACCGAGCACCCACCAGCCTCCTCCATTGCCACCGTGGCTGCCACAAATGAGGAGAGATGGGCAGGGACGGGGACAGCCAGGCAGGCTGCATGGAAGTGGGCGAGCCAGTTCAAACCTGGCCCCCACCCGACCCGTCTGGAGACCGGCGTGGAGGGGGTGGGCAGGGACCCACCAAAACATTTACTATTACATTTATTTATTGTTTTAAAAAATTATAATCTTTATCCCTTGATGTTTTTTCTTTGTTTTTTTTTGGGGGGGGGTCCTTTTATTCTTATGTTATCTAGATTTTATTTTTCTTTGGTTCCTTTTCCTTAATTTTTCAAAAAAATTCAAAAATATTTTAAAAACATTTTTAATACATTTTTCTTTCTTCTTTTTAAATTTTCTTTGCCCCTCATATTTCTTACCTACATTTTTTCTAACTCTTAAGAACCAAAATGGCAGCGCCCAGAAGGGAGCCTTGAACCA